GTACATAATCTCTTTACACACAAAATAGTTTTTAAGGAAATATATACGATTATCTGGATGACATGAGTATTATCTACTTGTTTTAGTAACTGTGACCCAATGTAGATAATTTTAAATGGATATATTTTTGTGTGCTATCTTGCTTAAAATTGCCTTTGATTGCTCTCTAAAATGAAATCAAATAAAGCAGCAGAAGCTTTGCAAAAAAAAAAAAAAGCAACTTGATCATATCTTATGAGAGGTTACTTCGCTTTTTATTCCATTATTCTACATGTGCGCTTTGTTGCTAGTACCTCATGGTTTGACTGTTGCAGCCTTGTGCTAAGTTTTGAGAAGGTATAAATCTCCCAACTTTGCTTCTTTTGCAAATGTTTTTGCTTAAATTTTTTAAGTAAAGTTTTACTGGAACTCTTTCCCTCCTTTGTTTATGTGTGGGTTTTTTTTTTTGAGATGCAATGATAAAGTTAAATATCTGTGATAGAGACCTTATTGCTTGTAAAATCTAAAGTATTTATTGTCTGATTGACTACTGAAAATATTTGCAGATCCCTGAACATTAAAGCACTGCTTATTACTCCAGTAGTAATGGATTATGATAAAAATAAATAGATGGAAAAGGGAAACCATACACAGACACTTACACTACTGTAGATGCAAGTAAAAAGTTAGACTATGCCCAGCAGCAGGAAAATAGCATTCTATTATTTGCTTACAGCGTGCCATGCAAATGGCAACTGCATGCTCTCTGTCAACAAAGTGTTTATATATCGGGCCAGTGAGGTGGTCAGTAGAGGAATGTACTTACTGTCAAGCTTGACAGCCAATTTGATTTCCAGAATCCATATGTTGGAAGAAAAGAGCGAACTCCCACAAATTGCTCTGCAACCTCCACACACACACACTCCAAAATTTTAAAAAGAAATATTGCTGGGCGTGGTGGCAAACGCCTTTAATCCCAGCACTCAGGAGGCAGAGGCAGACTGATCTTTCTGAGAGATCAGAGGCCTGCCTGGTCTAAGAGCTAGTTCCAGGACAGCCAGGGCTGATACACAGAGAAATCCTGTCTCGAAAAACAAAACACAACACAAAAAGAAATATTTACAGACAGCTAACCCAACACAAAAAGGTGGGGGAAATTGACACATAAGTTGTTTAGAGTTTAGTGTTCACTTAATTGTATTTCTTCTTAAGACTTTAAAATCAACACCTGCTTATAGGTCAGCAACACCTGCTTACAGAGTACTTGCCTAACATGCCTAGGATTGTAATTTCAACTTCTGGTACTGCAAAAGTAAAATATAAAATTTAAAATAAAAATTATTTTTTAACCTATGCAATTTAGAAAGAGACAGTAAACACAGTGATAAGAACTCTGCTTCCGTCTCTTTGAGTATCCAGCCACTCTGGCATTTATCTTCAAATCTTTTATCCTTACATTATAACTTTTTTTGTTTTTTACCCTGTTGACAAGGGCTGACTATATTCCTCTGACTGACTTGGAATTCACCACGTGGACCAGATTGGTCTGAGATTTGGTACCATGCAAGCTTCTTGCTTCTGCCTTCCACTGCTGGGATTACATATATATAATTCCAGCTTTCAATTTTTTTTTTAATCGTAACTCCTGGGGCTGGGGAGATGCATTAGTTGGGAGCACTAACTCTCTTGCAGAGGACCTGGGTTTTGTTCCCAGCACACACATCAGGTGGCTCACAACTGCCTGCCACTCTAGGGAACTGATACCTAGCCTCTGCAGGCACCCACACGAATATAGCAGACTCTCACACACATAAACACGGGGTTAAAAGTAAAATAAAGTAAGGAAATTTTAGTTTTTACTGTTAGGTATTGGATCCCTGGGTGCTGGGTTCATCCCGCCACCGCCACAATAAGCCAAATCAAATCAAATTAATAAATCCAGATTTAATAAACAGGGCAGTGCAAAGCAGCGTACCCCAGGTGACTCTCAGGAAGGCAGGAAAAGGGAATGGAGAGCACACATAGCAGATCTATGGGCTGGGTCTTAAATAGCCTGAAGTAGCAGGTATGTGTGGTCCTGGGCCTCTCCCAGGAGGAGCTGCCTATGGCAGACTTTCTGAGATGAAGCAGGGTTCGGAGAGAGAGAGATGAGGAGGGGGATTGAGGTGGAGCTTCCGCCAGAACATTCCAGGCTCTTTGGGTATATGGATGCCAGGGCTGGGGTGGAGCTTCCATCAGAACTGTATGTATAATTTTTGTTTGTTTCTTGAGGAAGGATCTATGTAGCCCAGGATATCTCTGTCGTCATGACTCAATCTTCCAAGTGCCGGAATTACATAGTGTGTGCTCCCACACCAGGCCCTGGTATGTGCAATTTATCATAGGAGATTATAGAAACATGCTGAGACTTAGAGGCCACTGACCTCTCTGGTGCAGAAGAAGAGCTAGATCAGCTAAAGGGTGGGCCCTGGAAGTATATGTAATTGTGCACTCACCCAATGAAATGTGGTGTGTCCTGTTTTGCCCTCCCCGCCCAAGCCATAGGCTTGCCAATTAAATTTGTGGTGGTGGTATTTATAACTCATTCCCAAGCTTACGCAAGTGTTCTTTGTTTATATAACTTGTGATTGCTACTCATAGCTGGCTGGTGTGAAAGGGAAAGTTCAAGGGCATTCAGGTGAAGCAGAAAGTTCAGGGGTATTTATGCCCAGGTCTGAACTTATGATCTTACCCAGGGTGATAATAGCCATTGACTTTTAAGCTATGCAGATAATAATTGCATTTGTTATGTGACAGAACAAAGGGCTCTTTACCTTCTTGTTTGATTATAGGTCTCTCACAACTGGCTAATGTCTGATCCTTTAAAAATTGCTATTGTTACACTCAGTCCCCTGCCAGACAGTAGTAATAGGCCTCATAACTTGGAATGGATATCTGATAGTAAATTTGTTTCTAATTTTGAAAGACTAGCAGTTTGTGCTTTCTCCTCCCCAGAACAGCCCACTCTGTGAGGAAGCAAGACAGCTAGAACAAGGAAATAACAACAGTTGGCACTAAGTTCTCACTGCCCAGCAAGCAGATCAATTTCAGCCCCTGGGCTTGACCTTGCAGACCTGCCCCCTGTGCTGACTCTGTCCTGTCTGCCTACTTTTTAACCTTGCTTCCAACTGTTCCTCCAAGTAGTTACTCAATAAATTTGCTTGTGAAATAGAAACAAAACATGTAAGATTTGAAGAGCAACAAAGGTCATTATCCAGGCTTGCAGTATAGCTCAGTGAGAAAACAACAAGGCCATTGTACAAGCAGGGCCAGAGAACCAGCAAAAATACTAAGTTGAAGTATCCCAACTCATCTGCAAGTGTAGTAGGCTAAGTTGTTTCTATCTACTCTGTCCCAGTAAGCCACCTCTGTAACTTCTCTGCAATGGCTATCCTCCTTCTAGGGAATCTGCTATCTAAGCAGCTGTTTATTTGGGGGTTGGGGAAAGAGGTGAGGTTGATGGCACTCTCTTTTAGGAGATAACAATTTAGGGCAGCAAGTTGGGCAGATTTGAAAGTGCTGTGCATCTGTTTTTGAGAGGAAGGGTGCTGAAAGGAAAGTTTGTTTGTTTGTTTGTTTGTTTGTTTGTTTGGAGACAGTGTCTCTCTCTGTAGCTCTGGCTATCCTTGAATTCACAATGCAGACCAGGCTGGCTTCTAACTTAAGAGATTTGTCTACTTCTGTCTTCTGAGTGCTGGGATTAAAGGTGTGCACCACTATTCCTGGCTAAAAGATAGTTCTTCTAGTAGCAAACAATTGCCTGGCTTTTCTCCTGTGCCGTTTGAAATAGAGGCTGGAAAGTACGGATTTGGGAGAGCAGCTAAAGGCTTGGTGGTCTGCTTTGACTGCATTCCTCCCCTGAGATAATTCTGCTTATTGTTAAGATTTAAGATGGTAAATTGACACGGGGTTTACTTTGAGATACAGTGTCATGGGTCCAAGGACAGTTTCAAGCATGAAGGGACACATGATCTTCTTTGATAAATCTAGCCTCCTAAGTTGTTCTATATAGAACAGCAGGGCAGATTGACACAGTTCTCCTGTGTAAACTACTTCCCATTCTGTTTTATTACTTTCACCAGGAGGTCAAGAATCAGTCTGAGAAACCCCACATAAGTGTCTTTCAAAACAAAAAACAAAACTTACTTTAGGGCTGGAGAGATTTGCTGCCCTTACATTGACCCTAGTTCAGTTCCTAGCACCCACATGGTGACTTATCCCTTCTGTAATATTCGGTACATGGTGCTGTGTTGTGACTTGGTATACATGACCCATCTCTTTTTTTTGTTGTTGTTGTTTGTTTGTTTGTTTTTTTTTTCGAGACAGGGTTTCTCTGTAGCTTTGGTGCCTGTCCCGGAACTAGCTCTTGTAGACCAGGCTGGCCTCGAACTCCCAGAGATCCACCTGCCTCTGCCTCCCGAGTGCTGGGATTAAAGGTGTGCGCCACCACTGCCCGGCATGACCCATCTCTTAATAGAACACAATATCATTTGAAGAGAAAGAGTCTTAAAACTATCTCTTGTATATTTAGCACAAAGCTTGCTATTTGTAAATCTTAACTACGTGGCTGATAAGTTGAACAAGCACTGAAAGAGTAGTAAGTGTGAGTTGCCTCAACTTTCAAATTCTGGGAGTATAGGCCTGCACTATCATACCCAACATGCTCTGAGCATTTTCAGGCCAGGAGGTCTCCTAACTCTATTACATTGCTAAATGGATGTTGTCATTTGTTATGTGCTCCTCTCTGGTCAGGATTAGGTCTAAGTGCACATAGTATCTAGTTCTCATATAGCTCTGGGAATGAGTATCACTGTCTTCATTTTATAGGTACATCTACAGACATTCAGAGAAATTCTGCTTTGGGTTATCTTCTAATAAGTTGCTGGGTTGAAATTTGAACCTGGGGATGGCTGGCATCGAAATCATCCACTCTCCCTCCACCTCAATCCCTAATAAACTATTCCCCTCTCCTTTTTTTCCAGACCCATCCCTGGAAGGCATGTGTGGCACTGAGCATGCCCAGCTGGGGGAAGATGGGCAGCGGCCGCCGCGGTGCACTTCAACTACCTCATCTCAGTCTGAGCCTTCAGAGCAGCTTAGGCACCAAGGCAAGATCCTAGCATCCGAAGACCCCAAAAAGAAGAGAGCTCAGAAGCCCTCTCATATGAGAAGAAACATACGGTGAGCTGTGTTCTGGGTAAGGAAAATGGAAGGGAATAGACTAGAAATAGCAGAAAGACTTACTTGGGCAAGGATGTCCTCTCTCCAGCAGAGACAAGTGTCCAACTGTGAACCTTCATTAATAGTAAAGATGGCATATCTGGTGACACATGCCTGTCATACCAGCTCTCAAAAGGTTGAAGCAAGAGAATCATGCGTTCCAGACCAGCATAGATTACATAAGGAGACCCTTATGTAATGTAATGGTAACAACCACCATTACCACAAAAACCCGGTAATGAAGGCGAAGTTTAGAACCCACTGTGTTGAATTTCACAGAATTTAGGGAAGATAGGTACCTAGACCATTGAGAGGTCTTGGGTGGTAGCTCAATGATGGTAGGATCATCTTACTTTCAGACTTTTCTTTCTTTATGTTTCCTATACCTCAAAACATGAAGTTTAAAACAAATCAATAAACAGATATCAACAACATAAAACTCTCAACAAAACTGAGCTATTGTCTTTTTAGAATTCAATTTCAGGTGATAGGGGACTGACCAAGAATGGGACTTTTTCCTTGACCTAAAAGATAACCAAAAATGAACTTTCTTAACTGTGCAAATCTCAACAACCTTTCCTTCTGCCAAATAACAACTTGTTCTACTAAAGGAGATAAATAACATTTCCCCTCTTTTGTTAGTTTTTTTGTTGTTCTTCATTTGTTTGTTTGAGACAGGTTCTAACTCAATAGCTCAGGCTGCCCTGGAACACACTGTGTGGCCCCTAGCTTTGAACTTTTGGTAATCTTTTGTACAAAAGCCTGTCAAGTGCTGGAATTACAAGTGTGAGCCACCATGCCTGGCATAGCTCCACAGTTTTCAAAGCACATAATGGAAACTTGAAAGTATTATTCTAAGCTCAGAAAATAATGATGCAGAATCCCTATTAACCCATTTGTTTGTCTGACAACTTTAAATTTGAGTGTTTGTGTGTGCGCGCACACACATGCATGCGTGTGCGTCCCACGTGTTGTATGTTTATGGCACAGTGCAAGCACTTGAAGGTGTGGAGGCCACAGCAGGACATCAAAGTGTTTTCTTCTTGCTTTCTACCTTATGCCTTAAGACAGGGTTTTTCACTGAATTGGAAGCTCCTTTTGTCCAGAAGCTCTTGGGATTACCCTGTCACTGCCCCCAGTAGTAGAATTATAAACATATTCAGCCATACCTGGTCTTTTACATACATGCTGAGAATTTGAACTCAAATCTTTTTTTTTTCTCACAAGACTGGGTTTCTCTGTATAACAGCTCTGACTGTCCCACAATTCACTTTGTAGGCCAGGCTAACTCACAGAGATCCACTAGCCTCTGCCTCCCCAGTGCTGGGATTAAAGACGTGTGCCACCACTGCCCAGCCTTGAACTCAAGTCTTTAGGTTTACAGAGCAAGGTCTCCTAATTACTAGGCTGCGCGCGCGCACACACACACACACACACATACACACACACACACACACACACAATCTTCTCTGTCTAACCTGGTGTGGGCCAGATTAGCTCCTCACAGAAGATCCACCTGCCTCTGCCTCCTGAAGGCTGGTATTAAAGGCATGTGCCACCATTGTTGACATAACTTTATTTTTAATGCTGGTTCAACTTTGTCAGCCATACTAAAAATAGTATTTTTATTACTCTTGGTCTTTTATTTTCATTTATTTGAGTGTGTGTATGTGTGTATTTTGTATGTGTGTATGTACCTGTGTGTGAGAGTGTGTGAGAGGGGCAGAGGAGGACATTTATTAGCTTCCTCTGTTACTCTCTGTTTTATACCCCTGAGACAGAGTCTCTCACTACACCTGGTGCTTGATGTTTTTCAAACAGTGCAGGAGAAATCCCAGACAATTGTCCAGCAAGCCCAGGCAGTCCTATCCCACCTTCTTGTATGTTCTGTGCCTTTCTATACCTATGGCCAAACCAGCTTTTTTAGGTGGCTGCTGGGAATCCTAACTCAGGTCCTCATGTTTGCACAGTAAGTGTTCTTACCTGCTGAGTCAACTCCCTAGTCCCTTACTCTCAGTCTTTCGTGTGCAGCATCCTCTGTGAAGAAGTCAAATAATAAGTAACATATGTTAGCACAGGGCCATTTGAAATTAAAGCCTCTCTGGCACCCGTCCTACCCTCCTTTAAAAAACTCCTTGTATAAACTTGCTCCTTGTATAAAAAGTGCATAGGTGAGACTTTGCTTCCCTTTTCCTCAGTTCTCTTGTTTGAAGGGAAATCAGGAATGGTATTTCCTTCTTTAGTTTGCCACTACATTGTCCAAATTGTAAGATAACCCTAGGGCCGTCTCTTTTTCATGTTTAGAAAGCTTCTCCGGGAGGATCAATTGGAGCCCGTTACCAAAGCAGCACAACAGGAGGAATTGGAAAGAAGAAAGCGCCTGGAGCAGCAGAGGAAAGAATACGCAGCCCCCATTCCTACTGTCCCTTTGGAGTTCCTACCTGGTAAGCAAGCTTTGTGCTAGAATGACCGTGTATTCTAGGAGGAAAGGCCTCAGCTTGCAGAGTGGCCAGGCCTGGATTGTGGTCTCTCAGGAATTCTGCAGCCCCTTTGCCTCTTGAGAGTACACAGTAAGAAGAGCTATCATTTAGAAAGTGAAAATAGATTAAAACATACTCAAATTAATTTTATGTAGGCTTCTTGTTTTCCCTATAGCTTTAGATTTTAGCATGCCAAGAGATGAAGATTGGTCACATGGATAGATGGCACAATATGACACCCAACAGAGAAGGGAACTTGGAAAGAAGACTGCGATTTTTTTTTTTTTTTTTAGCTTTCTCTGCTATTGTCAATGGCCAATTCCCATTACAGCAGCAGAGGAGGGTGCTTACTGATGATGACTCAGGGAAATATGTTTGAGCTAAATGGAGGATGCCTGTCTGTCTGTCTGTCTGTGTGTCTTGAGGCACATTTGTGACTCATGGCACATGTGTAGAAGCTAGAGGACAACTTGAAAAATCAGTCTTCTCCGTCTGTTGGGTGGGTCCTGGTGATTACAAGTCTACAGGCTTGGTAGCACCGTTGCCTGCTGAGCCATCCCAGTGGCCCTAAACGTGTTTCCTTCCATTTTTCTTTTCTAGAGGAAATTGTCTTACGAGCAAGTGATGGTCCACAGCTCCCTCCTCGGGTCTTGGCCCAGGAAGTTATTTGTTTGGACAGTAGCAGTGGCAGTGAGGATGAAAAAAGCAGTCGAGATGGTAAGATCAGGCCAGACGGGCATCTCGTCCACTTCCTTCTGGCCAATGTTCATCTTTACTTTTTCTTTTTCTTGGTGTGTGTGGGCGTGTGAGACCAGGTCTTACACTGTAGCCTGATCTGAAGCTCATAGTAATCCTCATGTCTCTTAGCCTTCTGATTGCTGAGATTAAGTGTACCACCATGCCTGACTTTGACTATACTTTTGAAAAATTCAGTCTTTATTCATTTGGTTTGGCCTTACCTTTAGCGTGTCACCTTAGCCTAACTTGTCCTGAAAAAAAAAAAAAGCTTTAAGAACATTTGTTTTGTAAGTGGTAACAAGTTTTAGCTAAGTCTTTGACCTTTCGCTCTGACAACCAGCAGTACCCTGTTCCTTGAATTTTTATGTCATTTTTCTGTCTCAGAGGTGATTGAACTGAGTTCTGGAGAGGAGGATACTCTGCACATCGTGGACAGCAGTGAGTCTGTCAGCGAGGAGGATGAGGAAGAGGAGAAGGGTGGCACCCATGTGAATGATGCCTTAAACCAGCATGATGCTCTTGGGCGGGTCCTTGTCAACCTGAATCACCCTCCAGAGGAGGAGAATGTCTTCCTGGCCCCACAGTTGGCACGGGCTGTGAAACCTCATCAGGTACAGCCAGTGTTGATCCTGCTCTCTTTTCTTTGCTGCAAACATTGCCTGCTGTTGGTTATTAGTGTTATAGGCTGTAAAATACTTGTTGGATCCCTAGAGTAGCTGTTGAAAGCCCTTGATCTTTGAATATGAGTACAGTGGGGAGAGGAAAGAGACATGTCTCAGGTTGACCTGTCGTGTAGAAATCACTGGGGGCTGGAGGGATGGTCAGCTGTTAGGAACATGCATTGCTCTTGCAGAGGACTCTAGTTTGGTTCCCAACACTCTCATACAGGTTCTATAACTCCTGTTCCAAGGAATCTGATGCCTCTTGACATCCATGGGATCCTGTATGCATATGGTACACATACATGTACCCAGGTACACACACACACAAAATGGAATAAATACTCAAAAAGTTACTTGACCACCATCTTGCTTCTCTTGGATCAGCAAAGAGAAGCTTGGGAGGTATAGATTCAGAAGACACATGAAAGTCAGATATCAGGGAATTTCTGAAAATTGAGAGCATTATTGTTTGTATTGATCTAGTGCCTGCAATTAGTACCAGTGAGTGAACATCCACACAGTCTGAGACTGACTCATTTTCAGGACTTCCTACAGCAGGAATTATTGGGGTACGTAGAGGAGGTACCCTCTCAAGCTCAGAGCAGCTAGGTTGAAAGAAAGACCTTGTCAGTAGTTGATATTGAAGACTCTTTAACTCATACAGAACATTATACAAGGTTAATGCAATTTTGTGTGTTCTCCAAGATGTCTGTCACCAGTCAAGGTGACAGAGAAATTTCAATAGACCAGTCAGGGTACACTTGCATGTTTACTCATACCAAGCATTGTGCTTATTTAGTGACTATTCCCAAGTGAGGAAGACTTGTATAGCCATGGTCTCTGGTAATGTTTCTGACATTCATCTGGTTTGTCTCTTGTCAGATTGGTGGGATCCGGTTCCTATATGATAACCTAGTAGAGTCTTTAGAGAGGTTTAAGACCAGTAGTGGCTTTGGCTGTATCCTGGCCCATAGCATGGGTCTTGGGAAAACTCTGCAAGTGATCTCCTTCATTGATGTCCTCTTCCGTCACACGCCAGCCAAAACAGTCCTTGCCATTGTGCCGGTACGTCTCTGGGTACTAACATGCTTGTTGAACTCGCCTTTCAGCTTATTCCTTAAAACTTGTGCGCTTATACATTGTGTGTGTGTGTGTGTGTGTGTGTGTGTGTGTGTTGGGGGTGAGGAAGCATCTTTGTTTAGTGGGTGAAAGTGAAGATGACCTGAGTTTAATTCTGGTGTCTACATAGGGGCAGGAGAGGACTGACTCCTGCAGGCTGTCCTCTGGCCTCCACATGTACATACAATAAATAAATAAAAGTGTAAAAGATAAAAGCCAACTCTTTTGGGCTTGTCATAGGTTAATACTCTTCAGAATTGGCTGGCAGAGTTCAACATGTGGCTCCCGGCTCCTGAAGCTCTCCCAGCTGACAACAAGCCTGAAGAAGTCCAGCCACGGTTCTTCAAGGTTCATATCTTGAATGATGAGCACAAGTAGGTGGCCTATCCTGTCTTCTCTGTCTTATTCCTTTTACACTTCTCTGGGACTACTAAAATATGTCTCTTGTCTTCCCACATTCTTTATTTTCATTCATTTGTTTGTTCGTTCGTTCATTCATTCATTCATTAAGACAGGGTTTCTCTGTGTAGTCCTAGCTGTCCTGGAGCTTGCTCTGTAGACCAGGCTGGACTCAAACTTAGAGAGATCCACCTGCCTCTGCCTCCCTAGTGCTGGAATTAAAGGTGTGCACCACCACCGCCTGGGTGCACATTCTTTTTGATTCTTGATGTTTACCTTTTCTGTTCTTGCTTACCTCCTTATCTCTAACACACATACACAGAGCTTTTCTGTAAACTCAGAGTTATATTGCCTGGGAAGTTTGAAATTTTTTTTTTTTTTTTGCTCTGGAACGCTTTTCTGACATAAAATATCTGCAGCCTAGTCACATTTTCTGGTGTGTATTGTAGTAACATTCAACATGACACAGTGAACTTCGGATGCTTTGAAGCACTGGTTTATAATTGACCTATAATAGTACAACTTCCAAAACTTTAAAAAGCTCACACTCTGGTTTTGTTTTACATTGAAATAGAATTACTATTTCTATTATCTGAAGTTAACTTGAGTTCCAAAAATCTAAAGTGACTTTTTGGTCCAAGTCAGCTATTCATGCTTTCCTTTCGTCTCACTGGCACAGACGATTTAAATAGGCAGACTTCCCTGGTTTTTGTGATTTGGACATACCCAAGTAAATGAGGAGACTCTGAATGAGCCAACAGGTGCTTGGTCTCCCGCTCTGCTTCCTTGGATTTCAGAACTATTAGTTCAATGTAATTAGTGCAACACTGAGAGGGCTCAGGTGTTTGAGTGGAGTTACTGGCAAGGGCCTTTGGTTTTCCGTTGCCTTTGCCTTTGTACTTTGTACTTCTCTCGTTTTTAATCAATGGAGCCTGGTCAGATTAAGTGAAGTGTTGCCCTTCTTCCTGTGACTTGTGCTTACCATGAGAATTACTTGAAATGCTCTCTAGAATGTTGCTTTGTGATAGTAGGTATATATGCAGGGACTTAGCATGTTTTTTTGCTTTCTTCCATTAAATTATTGATTCTCACTGTTTAGCTATCATCAACGATCCATTCCAGTATGAATTAGTATTTCTGGGATACTAGGAAAGTACTTGAGTAGCTAGTCCAACTTGTGCTTGCTGCCCGATGAAATCTTTGGCAATAAAGCATTCCAAATATAAGTTAGTTCAGCTCTGGTTAAAGACTTCTTTCTGAATAGCAGCAACAGAAACAGCAGTGCATTCTTTCTGTTCTCCTTTCTTGAAAACTAAAAGCCACTCTATGGGACAATTCATATCTCAGAGTTCTCTCTTCTCGCTTCTACAGGACGGTGGCATCCCGTGCTAAAGTGACGGCTGATTGGGTTTCAGAAGGTGGAGTGCTGCTGATGGGGTATGAAATGTACAGGCTGCTCACTCTGAAGAAGTCCTTTGCCACAGGTAGACCCAAGAAAACCAAGAAACGCTCTCACCCTGTCATTATTGATCTGGATGAAGAAGATCGACAGCAGGAGTTCCGCAGAGGTGGGTGGCTTTTCCTGGACACACTCCTCTGGTATGTCAGGGCAGAATTGGCCAAAAGTACCAGTTAGGTGTGAAGTGAGTTGTTAGCATAAACCAGGAAGCTGGGTGGGCCCACCTCCAGCACCTTTCAGAAAGAGCTACATTTCTGCAAGCCACACTCGGGCTCAGGGGACTCTCCCGTCTTTGTGTCTCTATTTGATTTACAAGACAGTTGGGAAAGTAACTACTGCTGTTACCACTTCATAGAGATATTATAGGAAAGTATTAAGAAAACCTAAATGGCTTATATTATTCATTTAAGGGTGGGACATGATGGTGTACATCTTTAAATCCCAGCACTTGAGAGGCAGGGACAGGCACATCTCTTGAGTTTGAGGCTGTCCTTTCTACATAGCGAGTTCCAGGCCAGCTGGAGCTACACATTGAGACCCTGTCTCAAAACAAATAAAACAAAAGAAACAAACAAAAAATCCTCTAAGGCTAATATAAAGACAGAAGAGTAATATTTGTGAATTTATAAAAAAATAATGATCTGGCCGGGTGATGGTGGCCTTTAATCCCAGCACTCGGGAGGCAGAGGCAGGCGGATCTCTGTGAGTTCGAGACCAGCCTGGTCTACAGAGCTAGTTCCAGGACAGGCTCACAGAGAAACCCTGTCTCGAAAAACCAAAAAAAAAAAAAAAAAGTAATGATCTCTGTTGCTACTCATAGTTCTGTCTTTGACTATTTATTATTATTATTATTATCTGTAGAGATGTTTCAGTGGTTAAGAGCAGAGGATCCGGGTTGTTCCCAGCACCCATACGGTGGTTCACAGCCATCTTCAACTCTAGTTCCAGGGGATTAGATGCCCTCTTCTGACCTCTACAGGCCCCAAGTGTGCACATGGTACACAGACAGGCATCCATACAAGCACACATAAATAAAATAAAATGAATACATCTAATAAAATTAAAACTTAAAAAATAATTTTTTGCTAATTCTTTGAGAATTTTATACAATGTATTTTGGTCATATTCAGCCTCCTCTAACTCCTCCCAGACCTGCTTTCTCAGCCCTCACATCCCTACCCGGCCTACTTTGAGTTTTCTATCCCAGAAACTCAAATTCAGTTTATGTTGCTCAACGGCTACTGAATACCAATAGCTCCTCAGCTAGTGTTGGGATTCCTGCCCAAATTTCCTCTCTATGCTGGGATTTTTCCTGGCGTGAACTTGCTCAGGTTTTGTGCGTGCTGCTGTGATAACTAGGAGTCCTGTGTCCAGCTGCACTGTTGTATCCAGAAGACACTGGTTCTTTGAAGTTGTCCACTACCTCTGCCTCTTACAGTCCTACTGCCCTCTCTTCCACAGAGACCTCTGTGTGTGCATGCAATATGTGCATTCTAATTATGGATGAGCACACTACAGTTTCTTATTCTCTTTGTGCTGACCCATTGTGGGTCCTCATGTTAATTGCCTTCTATAAGGAGAAGCGTCTCTGATGAGGATGAGTGATGGATATCTATTCAATTTTTTGTTGTTGTTGTTGTTTTGTTTTGTAAGTCTTCATTCTGTGAGATTATGTCTGATCTAGGTTTCCTTCTGTGGTGGATAGAGCTGGGGTGAATATGCCATTTAGCAGGGATGGGTGGAATAACTGTGAGAAGACTGTCCTAGCTCCTGTCATCTAGCCTTTAGAAGGATCCAAAATGTTGGATGGTGAGAGCCCATGACATATTTTTAACCCTAGGCTCACAATTTGTGACGACCCCCCTCTCTGTTGTCCAATAGATTTGAGACCCAGGATTGCAAGTAATTTTTACTTTTAGCTTGAAAAAAAGATTTAAAGTGAATAAGTAAAATAAGGAGAAGAATGAGGATAAGAAGATATAAATGCAAGAGTCAGTGGCCAGGTTAGCATCACATTAAACACGTAAGAGCTTGTCTGGCTGGTTCCCTTTTACCAATGGGGGCTGACTCTTGCTTCCCTGCTTCCTTCATTTCTTCTGTCTCTTCCAGGGTTCTCCCCTACTTCTCATATTATTGACTAAGAGCAGACCCTCTCACCCTCTGATTCCGGATCCTCTTCCCTCCTTAGAGTTTGAGAAAGCCTTATGCCGCCCTGGTCCTGATGTGGTGATCTGTGACGAGGGCCACCGCATCAAAAATTGCCAAGCCAGCACCTCACAGGCTCTGAAGAATATACGTTCTCGTCGGCGGGTAGTGCTGACTGGGTACCCTCTACAGAACAACCTCATTGAGTACTGGTGCATGGTGGACTTTGTGCGCCCAGATTTCCTTGGTACTCGCCAGGAGTTCAGCAACATGTTTGAACGCCCTATCCTGAACGGGCAGTGTATTGACAGCACACCTCAGGATGTCCGCCTCATGCGCTACCGGAGCCATGTTTTGCACAGCCTCCTGGAGGGCTTTGTGCAGAGGTGAGAGTTTGTTTTCTGAATCTTTAGAGGGATAGAGGACATGCCAAAGCTATTATGAAGGGGAAATGTTACCACTGGAGGTCCCTTCGTAGTGGACCAGCAATAAAACTAAATAACTGACAGATGATGGCTATACCGTTTCTAGTCTGTGAAAGTTTGGCCTATAAGCACTTCACTCAAAAGTTGTCTTTGTTGAATGAATATCTCCTGGCACTCAGGAAGATGAGGTAGGTGAGTTTGAGGCCAGCCTGGGCTACATAGCAAGCTCATACCATTGTTATCTAAAGTTGCTAAAAATACCTGTTTTAACCTTTTAAATAAATAAGAATGAACCAGCATTCTGCTGACTTTGATAAAAGGATAAATATGATTCTAGGGTATTGCTTTACCTGTTTCAGCCTCACAAGTTTATGTAAGGCAGCCCTAAAACAGCTAGCTCTTCATTTCCTCCTGGTAGGATGACAGATGTGGAAAAAGGTCAGAGAGGCGTCCTTGAGTTGGGGCGTGAATCTAGAGTTCCTTTGGCCTTAATTACCCGGTTAGTTATGACTTGGGATGGGTGTTACTTTGTCTGAACCACCCTGCTCTAACACAGGAATGCATTGCATGTTGAGAGATTTCTAGAAGATGGCGTGGCAAGAGTGCAAGACTTTGTTTTTATCCTGTGCTGACCCATCCTGGCCACAGTTCTTGGCTATGCCTCCTATAGGCCACTTCTGATCTTTGTGCCTCTGTAGGAGAGGCCATACTGTATTGAAGATTCACCTCCCTGCCAAAGAAGAGAATGTGATCCTGGTGCGGCTTTCTCAGATCCAGCGAGATTTGTACACACAATTCATGGACCGTTTCCGGGACTGTGGTAGCAGTGGCTGGTTGGGGCTGAATCCTCTGAAGGCTTTCTGTGTGTGCTGCAAGGTGAGTGGAGGCCTCAGGGAAGATGGATCAGAGCTAAGTAAGGGTCCACGTGATGCTGAAGATGTTTCTCTGAGGTCAGGTGATGTTTTTCAATCTTATTTGGAGTATCACTACATAGTTAAGGTTATCTTGAAGTTCATATCTTCTGACTCAACCTCCTGAATGTGGGGATTACTGGTATGTGCCACCATACCTGGCAATGGAGGGGATTTCAAAGTATCTCTTTTGTTTGTTTTTTGAGACAGGATCTTGCCATATTATCTGATTGACCTTAAACTCTTGGCAATCCTCTTGCCTCAGGCTTCCAAGTGTGTGGATTATAAGCAAGTATCATGACACATGGCTTTAAAAATACTGCTTTTGTAGCCTCTGTCCTGACCAAAGCCAAAAAACAAAAGTGAAAATGCTCTCGTGATAGATAGTGCCATGGCTTATAGCATTCTTTCTCCTTTGCCAGGAATTCTGAACTTTTCCTGAAATCACATTTTAGTCAGATACCTTTTTTTTTTTCATAGGGAGGGTTAATTTTGTTTTGTAAAGTATTGAATATAGCCATACAATGAAAACAAAACATTCTTTCCCTGTTTAAAAATGAAATACTCGTGACACAGACTTTTTGATTATAAACCAAGCACACTGGCATTTCCTATTCCTGTGTCATGGTCATCAGAGCTAGCAGTGAAATTGCAAGTTCTTTGACTTTGAATGATTTGGGGGTACATTAATTTTGGGTATGTAATGTGAGTTGTAGCAGCTGTTTATTTGAGCATGTTTCCATACTCCTTGGAATGTTCTCTGGTCTATACTCTTTCTTCCTTTGTTTAACTTTAGATCTGGAACCATCCTGATGTTCTATATGAAGCCCTTCAGAAGGAAAACCTAGCCAATGAGCAGGACCTAGATGTGGAAGAGCTTGGCTCAGCAGGGACCAGTGCCCGTTGCCCACCACAGGGCACAAAAGTCAAGGGAGAAGATAGCACCCTGGCTTCCTCCATGGGAGAAACAACCAATAGCAAGTTCCTACAGGGAGTTGGCTTTAACCCTTTTCAGGAGCGAGGCAATAACATTGTTACATATGAATGGGTGAGTCAAATAGTCTTCATAGCTATAAACTGCTTCTGAGGAGGGACGGTCATGACCAATCTGGAGAAAGAATAGTGTGCACAGCGCACTGCACTGCTGTTCTGTACAGAAAATGCTGAAGGTAGTCAGTGGCCACTGCCTTACAGGGGGACTTTTATTCTACTCATCCAGCCGCAGACCTGCTCCAATTCTCTCTTTTGCAGGCCAAGGATCTTCTGACTAATTACCAGACTGGAGTCTTAGAAAACTCTCCCAAGATGGTACTGCTTTTCCACCTGATTGAAGAAAGTGTGAAGCTTGGGGACAAGATCCTTGTCTTTAGGTAAGAAGAGAATTGAGGCTTGGTGTCTACAGGAAGGATGAATACAGCATCTATGCAGTGAAACCATCTAGCCTCATAGCTGCACCTTGCCTTTTCCAATGCTCTATAACCAAGCACTTGGAGGTAGAGCTTTCTTGCCTCTCAGCACCCAGGTTTTTGTTTGTTTGTTTGTTTGTTTGTTTTACTTTAACATTAGAAATCATATTCTGGATATTCTAGTCCTTCAGACTGTGTCCCAGACCAAACCTGGCTACTTTTTATTTATTTTTTTTAACATTTATTTGTGTATTTGTTTACTCATTTATGTATAAAATTTTTATTTTACTTTAAATTTGTGGTGCTGGGAGTTGAACCTGGGACCTCATGCACATTAGGCAAGCACTCTAGCATTGAGATTAGACTTGACAACAAATGCCTTTACCTGCTGAACTCTCTTATCAGCTCTGTTTAGGTTTTTGAGACAGGGCTCATAAAGCCAGGCTGGTTTGAGTGTTTGATTCCTTGCTGAGTGGTGGAGCTATAGGGTTGTGCCACCACCCCTGACATTACTTTTTAAAATTTTGATACAGAGTCTTTTTACTGAGGTCCCTGGACTGGGCTGGAATTTACTCCAAAGCCTAGGCTGGCCTTGAATTTGTGTTCCTTCCTTGAAGGTGAGATTACCAAGCCCAACTAGTTTTTACACTTCAGTCTATAGAAAGAAATACAAAAAATAACGAGTATATTTGGTTAGTCGGATGTGGTGGCTTTTAATCCCAGCACCTAGGAGACAAGAGCTAGGTGGATCTCTGTGAGTTCCAGGACAACCAGGGCTATGCGAGAAACCCTGTCTCAAACAAAACAAAACAAAAGGCAAACCTGCTAAAAGGCTAGATGTGTCTACAAAACCTAAAATGTTTGCTGTTTTGCCCTTTATAGAGCACACTTGCTGACCCTTTTATTCCCCTCCCTCCTTTTTAAAATAAGGTTTTTACATTGAAGGCCAAGTAAGTGGTGTGATATGCACTATAGTCACACTCTAGGTTTGGCTGGGGCTTTGAGTCTCATCAAAACCTGACTATATACAAGGAAACAGGCATACAGTAGATTGTTTCTGACCACATTGTGACCCTAGAGCCTGATTTGGGAGCCAGTTGAGGGCTTCCACTGTGACAGTCGGTTTCAGACTTGTTCCCTGATGTTGAAATATGGAGCGGCGGCAGAGCTGCGTCCCCAACACCCCAGCCGCCTGCTAGCTTATGCCCGAAATAACAACACACAAACTGTATTCATTTAAAGAACTGCTTGGCCCATGAACTCTAGCCCTTACAGGCCAATTCTCGCACCTGGACTAGCCCATTTCTAATGATCTGTGTAAGCACCCCAAGGTGCGCTTACCGGGAAGATTCTAGCCTAAGTCCATCTGGGTTGCAGCTGCCTGGGAGAGCTGAGCATGGCGTCTCTGCTCCAGCAGAGCTGTCGGGTCTCTCTGGGAGCAGAGCAGAGTCTGACCTCACTTCCTCTTCCGCCCAGAATTCTATTCTGTTTCCTCCTCCCATCTATGCTCTAAGCTAAGCCAAGCAGTTTCTTTATTGCTCAGCCAATGAAATCAACAGATTGATATATGACACTCCCACATCACCCTGATTTTACATACTGCATTTCAAGAACCCAGCTCTCTGAAGATTTTGAAAACAGTCAGATGGATCCATCTTCATAGTAAGATGCTTAAGATTGCCTGTGACCCACAGTTAGACTAATTTGTATCTCATGTGGTGTTGGATTTGCACTACCAAATACGGCTGAACCCCAGAATTTTCAATGGAGAGATTAAGAAATCAGAGAAATAATGGTTTTGTTTGTTTGGTTGGTTGGTTGGTTTTCTGTTTTGTTTTGTTTTTATGGGTTGGTGGTAATAAGTATATAGATAACGGCTCCTGTTATGAGTTGAGGATAGTATCCTTGGTTGTTCTTAGTGCAGCTTCATCTTATAGAGAGTAGGTTGTGGGAGCTCTACTTAGAAGGTCGCATGCGAGTGTTAAGGGCAAGAGTCCTTGGTTTTGGGAGCCATCTGAATGACTTTTTCTCTTTCAGCCAGAGCCTTTCTACCTTGGCTCTCATCGAGGAGTTCCTAGGGAAACGAGACGTGCCCTGTCTGCCTGGTGCTGAAGGGCAAGGAACACAGAAGTGGGTTCGAAATGTCAGCTACTTCCGTGAGTTTACTGTTGCATTGTTTCTGGAGTCTTACCAAGATCTATTTAAGGGCTTCCTCTTTCTCTCTTTTTTCTCTTGTCCAACTCCATTCTTTTTCAAGTGTATAGAAATATGTGATTAGCCAAGAAATAGGGCGTTACTGAAAGGTAGCTTCTAAGAAAGAACCACTACTGGGCTGGAGAGATGGCCCAACTGCTTGGATTACAGACATGTGTGACAATGCCTGTCTCAAAACTGGGTTCTAAAAAGGGCAGAGTCACTGTGTGGGGGTGGCTAGAGGAGCCTTAGGTGGAAAATGGAAGAGTTTGAAAGTTTAGAACTATTTGGCCTAGTGACTATCCAGGTCAGAGTGAGCACAAACCTAGATCACACTTTCTCTGTGGGGGAGCTAAATACCCCCAAGGAGATGAAAAGTTTGGGAGTTTGTATGTGGGAGAAAAAAAACTTTTTTCAGATGTGTAATTTATAGGTACACATAACCATGTATACCTTCTATCTGTAATTTTAATATTTCATGAAAGATACAGTATGGTTGAGAAAAAGTGTCTAAAAGTAAGTAGTAATAAAAAATGAAAGTTGAGAAATATTGCTCTACCTTGTTAGCATTTGACCTAGACTTTCGCTATAGATGTCTAACCTGTGTGTTGTAGGATATTCAGTAATATCTGTATTTTTTTCCAACTAGATGTCAGTAGCATCTTCAATTTTGAGAACTAAAAATGCCTCCAGTCATTGCCAGACTGTTCCCTGGGGGTAGGAGAGTGGAGGAATAACCCTTTGAGAACCACTGGCCTAAGAAATGATTTAGAGAAATGAAGGTTCATAGCTTGTGTTTTCTATAGGATTGTCCAATGAGACAGTGGTCAGCTGTGCTTCAGTATTACAAAACTCAGGTTGGAAAGTAAGTTGGGGTCCTGATTGAAGACACTAATACTAGGCAACTAAAATGTCTGTTTCCTATAGTAGTAATTCAGTTCCCTGGCTGGTATCTGAGATCCTTGATTTGTCGTTTCCCCAATTTAACAAATGTTGCCACCTTTTCTTTTATGCTGCTTTCTAAGTGACAGTGATTTCTTCCACTTGTGAACTTTTGTCTTTTTATTCTTAATGAGTGGCATTGCTTCAAGTCTTTTTCTTTCTCCTTTCCCTCCCTCCCTCCCTCCCTCCTTCCCTCCCTCCCTCCCTCCCTCCCTTCCGTTTGCAAGTTCTTAACATCAAGAGCTTAAAAATAAAAAAATGAAAAGCTGGTGTCTTGTGTCTGGTAGCACATAACCTATAAACACAGCATTTAGAGGCTGAGGTAAGGGGTTGTGAGGTGAAAGCTAGCCTGGACTATTTAAAAAGTGTTTAAAAAGAACAAAAGTCTTAAGGAAGAGGAGTGGTGGAAGAATGTTGTCCTTATTAAAATACAAAATTCTTGGTGTTCCTGCACGCACAGGGTGAGTCAGTCTTTTCTAAGTTCCTAGATGAGTCTTGTGCACGCCTAAGTCTGGAGACGCTATCCTTAGAATTCACTAGAGGAGAAAAACATGCTTTATAGGTTTCTTGTTGTTGTTTTGGTTTTTTGTTTTTGTTTGTTTGGTTTTTTTGTTTGTTTGTTTTTGAGGTAGGGTTTCTCTATGTAGACAGGTAGGCTGACCTTAAACTCAGAGATCCACCTGCTTCCAAATGCTGGTATTAAAGGCACGCGCCGCCACCACCCAGCTGTATTTTATAGTTTTGTGTTACATGTGAGAGTTACTTGATTATACTTTCACAGTGCTGATGTCTAGGCTTCATCATAGACCCATGGTTTGCCCAGTGGGTAGATGTTTTGTTTTGTTTTAAAAACATTTGCAGGGTTGCAGAGATGGCTGAGTGGCTAAGAGCTCATGCTGCTTGCTCTTACAGAGGACCAGAATTCAGATCTTACCGTCCATGTTAATCAGGTCACAAATATCTATAGCTCCAGCTCCTAGGGAATCTAATGCCTGCAGCCTCTTCAGGCACCTGTACCTGTGCGCATGCATGCACGCACGCACACACACGCATACCTACACACAGAAACATATATAATTAAAAATAAAATACATAACTAAAAAAAACAAACATTCGTGCAGTGGCTTTGCTGAATTTCTCTGCCCTCATCTATTCTTTTTTGTTTGTTTGTTTTCTTCCTAGGGCTAGATGGTAGCACCCCTGCCTTTGAGAGAGAGCGGCTCATTAATCAGTTCAATGATCCCAGCAACCTCACCACCTGGCTGTTTCTTCTTTCCACAAGGTGAGTGGAGTCTGTAAGGGGATGATGGTGTAATTTGCCATCTGGGCAGGTACCTCAAAGTCTCATCTAAGTCAGAGAAGAGATATGCTCGGTCTTTAATTTGTTTCTGAGGTCAGAAGTGGACCCCAGGAAAAGTTGTTGTGAAGGTAGTCATGAGGGTGTTGTACAGCTCTCTGAGATCTTCATAAATGGTTGTCGTGATTTGATTTTCTCTCAGGAGTGTTTTATGGTAAGGAGTGCTTTGTTACATTAGATAATGTAATATAATGTAAATAAAGATGCTTTTAAAAGTGCCCAATCTCAGCAACCAGGTGGCAGAAGGCTTATGAGTCAGGCCAGCCTGACTTCTGTCAATGAGTGCTGCTTCGAAACAAAACAAACCAAAATAACTTGAAAGTGTAGTGTGACTGTAAAAGGTTGATGTTTTTGGTTCACAACTGGTATGCTAATGGTTCTGTTGATTTCTACTAACAGTGTTTAACAGCGTATAGGTTCTTTTTCATTGAAATAAGATCTCATGTAGCCCTGCTGGTCTTCTCTAGCTCCTGATCTTCCTGCCTGTGATGCCATATATTGGAATTCCCAGTCGATATGAGTCTTTCATCCCCCTTGGGTATTAAAGTAAAAGCACTGGAAACATTTTGTGTACAGACATTTCTTCTTACTAAGGGACAGCGCTCTGGAGCTACTGTGTGGTGCTTTACCTTTTACAGAGGGATGGAGAGCTATAGACACTGTTGTATTGGGCTGAAGGGCACACTTTTCAACGCTTGAGGAACAAGCATAGTGTTTGTCAGGTCAACAAAATTCTTGAATTTATTTTGCTTAAGAGGAATGTTGGGGTAGGAGTCACAGAAGGCAAAGCTTACTAGAAAACCACCTTTAAGACTATGGTTGTTGGCTTATGTCTTCAAGGGCCGGATGCTTGGGTGTGAATCTGATTGGTGCCAACAGAGTGGTGGTATTTGATGCTTCCTGGAACCCTTGCCACGATGCTCAGGCAGTATGTCGGGTATACCGTTATGGCCAGAAAAAGCCCTGTCACATCTATCGCCTTGTGGCTGATTATACTCTTGAAAAGAAGATCTATGACCGGCAGATTTCCAAGCAGGGCATGTCAGGTGGGCGATTTTCCAGGCTATTCCAGATATGTTTCTATACCAGCTGCTATCCTATAAGCAATCAAGGGTGTGGGGGAGGGTCAGGGCATGGGAATACATAGAATGCCAGAAGATCCTCCTGTATCATTCTAGTTCAGGTCACTAAGGAGATTGTCCTCATATTGGGAAAAGTAAGTTTAATAAGAGGAGTCAGTAGTTTTCTCTTCTGTGATTTGTCCATTTCACCAGGGCCCTCAGCCTGTTTGACTTTTGTGTGTGAAAGACTTCCTTATTGTCAGTTGAGCCACTGTCTCTCTGCTGACCTATGTAGCTAGTGGTGTGTTCAGTCTTCTTTGACGTGTGCTGACTTTGTTCTTACCTTTTTCTTATAGACCGGGTAGTGGATGACCTAAACCCAATGCTGAACTTCACCAGGAAGGAAGTGGAAAACCTGCTGCACTTTGTTGAGAAGGAGCCAGCTCCCCAGACATCTTTGGATATAAAGGGGATCAAGGAGTCAGTCTTGCAGCTTGCCTGTCTGAAGTACCCTCACCTCATCACCAAGGTAAGTACCTGATATACATGACATCCTTGGTATGGCGGACTCAGTCAGTGAAGACTTGTTTGGCAAACCTGCTTCCTTCTGAAGTAGTGGTTCATGCACACACTGTACTAAAGTGATTCTTTTGCTGACCCTACCTACCTCCACACCTTATCTAGTCTTTGGAGTGTTGAGCTTAGTCAGTCATTCCAAAAATCTGATCACTGTGAATCTCCCTGACGGAAGGAGGAGGAAGTTCTGAATGCAGATGAATTCTCTGAACTCTCTATTCTTTTGGTAGGGAGTATGAACTTGGGCATTTGCAACTGATACTAGGTTAGAGCTGTGGACTATACTTATTTTTTATTTATGTATATATGTATTTATCTTTAAATTATTTATTGATTTTATTTCATGTGTATTGGTGTTTTTGTCTACATGTATGTCTGTGTGAGGGTATTGGGTTTCCTGGAACTGGAGTTACAGACAATTGTGAGCTGCCATGTAGGTGCTGGGAATTAAACCTGGGTCCTCTGGAAGAGCAGTTAATGTTCTTAACTGCTGAGCCTTCTCTCCAGCCCCTATTTGTTTATTTTTTAAGATTTATTTTTACTTTAGTTTTGTATATGTATATATCTTTGTGAGTATGTGCATGTGAGTGCAGGTGCCTATGGAGCCCAGAGGTGTTGAATCTCCCGGATGGAGCTAGAGTTAGAGGAGGTTGTGAGCTGCCCATCATGGGTACTGGGTACTGAATTTGTGTCCTCTGCAAGAGTAGTGTGTGCTCTTACTCTTAACCACGAGTCATCTCTCCAGCCTCCTTTTGAATTTTGAAAAGTGTGTGTGTGTGTGTGTGTGTGTGTGTGTGTATTTACATATGCGTGTGGAAGTAAGAGAACAATTTTGTAAATTTTGTAGAGTTGATTCTCTTTCTCCCTGTATGTGTATTCTGGAAATTGAAATCATGTCACCAGGATATAGCTCACTAGTCCATGAACTAGACTCTTGACAGAACCTGCTTGCCTATAACGCTTTTTGCCAGTGTTGGAGACAGCCAACTAACTTCTTTTTGGTTCCAAAATAAGACTCACTGTACATCAGTTGTATTTGCACAAAGGCTGGTAATTAGAGGGCTGGAGAGATGGCTCAGCGGTTAAGAGCATTGCCTGCTCTTCCAAAGGTCCTGAGTTCAATTCCCAGCAACCACATGGTGGCTCACAACCATCTGAAATGAGATCTGATGCCCTCTTCTGGCCTACAGGCAGACACACAGACACAATATTGTATACATAATAAATAAATAAATATTTAAAAAAAAAAAAAAAAAAAACAAAGACTGGTAATTAAACCCAAATGTTCTCTGTCTCCAGGAGCCTTTTGAGCACGAATCATTGCTCCTCAACCGAAAGGATCACAAGCTGACCAAAGCTGAGAAGAAAGCAGCAAAAAAAAGCTATGAGGAGGACAAGCGTACATCAGTACCGTATACTCGCCCATCGTATGCGCAGTATTACCCTGCCAGTGACCAGAGCCTGACCAGCATCCCTGCCTTCAGTCAGAGGAACTGGTGAGTTGCTGAAAGAAGAGAGTCTGGCTGGTCTAGACACAATTACTTTCATTCAGTTCCTGTTCACCTAAAGGGAGAACGTACAGCCTGCTCTTGGGCTACTATGCAAAGAAGGTCCCACTCTAGTGTCAGGTGTCAAAGCCACTCAGCAGCCCACATGTTCTAAATGGCTCTAGTTTTGATGACCTTGGCTGGAGAAATGAGCTATTGATTTTGCCACTCAGCAGAACCCTTCTGGTAGAATGGTATAAAACGGTTGTTTTATGGGGCAAACTTTAAGTCACATGGGAATGTATATGCCAACCCCAGAGGGTGTCTTCCTCATACATCAAGACCAAAGATAAAGACTTCAGGAAGCTTATTGACAAGTAGGGTTGGTGAGATGTTCAGCAGAGAGAATACTCTCTTTCCAAGCCTGAGGTCCTGAGTTCAATTCCTAGAACCTACACGTAAGAGGAGGAGAAAATTGATTCTACATAGAGCTGTCCTCTAACTTCCACACACATGCCTTGGCAAGATTGCATCCACACACACCAAATACATACATGCTCAATAATTTTTTCCCTCATTGTTTATTGGCAATTTACTATGTGCAAAGCATTCACACATGGCCTAGCAGAGTGCATTTAAGTTCAAAGAATCAATAGACCCATTCCAAATCAAGTGTAGGAAAAAGCACACGATGATCAAATGTCTTTAGATAGGAATGTCAACAAGTATAATGAATTTTTAAAAGCTTAGCAAAAGGAAATTTCTTCACATGCTATCAGAAAAGCAAATGCGGAGGTGCATGCCTGTAATCCCAGCACTCAGAATGTAGAGGCAGGAGGAGAAATTTAAGGTTATCCTTGGTGAGTTTAAGGCTAGCCAGGAGTATATTAAGTGGTGGCAATGGGAAGAAGACAGGGGTGGGGCACACGGCAGCAGGGGGCAACAGGCATACATGCAGGTGTAGAGAGGGAAATCTTGATCTCAAATCAGGAGTAATAACTTTGTCACGTACCATCCAGGTGAAAGGTGAACTAGGAAAAACATACTAGTGACCTTATGTGATATTATAGTACCATCATATAGAAGTCTGGCTTTGGGCAAGGGCTTTGGTTGCTACTGCTTTTGTGTGGTGGTCATAACCAGAGAGACATTATGGAGACTGACACAGCTAGGAGCCAGGAGGAGCATCATGAAAAGTAATTTGGAGTAGAGAGGGGCATCTGCATAACTTACTGAAGTTTGAGGTTTGAGAGAGAATCAGAGAGTGAGAAATGATGCCTAAAGTGGGGATAGGTGATCGCTGATGATCACCTGAACATACGGCATCACATAGGTGAGTGAGTCAGGATAAATTTTGCCCTTCAGATTTCAACTTAAATGGTATCATGAGCCTGCCTTTCCTTTTTATATTTTTGTAACATCTCATCTTCCCTTTAGATCTAGTTCCCGATGTAGATAGTCTAATTTCTAGAGAAGCAGATATACCTTCTATTTCTGAAAGGCTTCACTCCACTAACATCTGACTACTTATCTCTGGAAATGACCTCTTCTTTCTCTGCTATGGTATCTCAGTCATGCCTCTAGGCTTCTTTAGAATTGATTAGAGTCTGCGTGTTCTTCTGATGCTGTTCTCAGCAATAGTTAAGGGTGAAGGGCTTGGCAGTTTATAGTAGCTCAGTGGCTGTTCTGTCCAACTCTGAAAATGTGCCTTTTTTTTTTTCCTGCAGGCAACCAACACTGAAGGGTGATGAAAAGCCTGTGGCCAGTGTTCGTCCTGTACAGTCCACCCCCATCCCCATGATGCCCCGGCATGTCCCACTCGGTGGCAGTGTAAGCTCTGCCTCCAGCACAAATCCATCTATGAACTTTCCCATCAACTACTTGCAGCGGGCAGGAGTCCTTGTGCAGAAAGTGGTCACCACGACAGGTTGGGAATTTCTACTTTCTGTTCTGGGGATATTGTTTCTGTCTGTCTGTCTATCTATCTATCATCTGTCTTTTTAAATTAGCTCTTCTTTTTTCTGAATATTAAAGTTTTATTTGTGTGTATGGGTGTTTTGCTTGTGTGTATGTAAATGTACCCCATGTGCACCTGGTGCCTACAGAGATCAGAAGAGAATGTTGAATGAGTTGCTGTGTGGGTGGCTAGGAATCAAATCTGGGTCCTCTACAATAGCAGCAGGTGCTCATAGCCATTTATTTTGTGTTCATGTGTGTGCCACAATGCTCATGTGGGTTCTGAGGGTCAAGCTCAGGTTGTCAGGTTTAACGATAAAGTACTTTTATTCATTGAGTAATCTACTGGCTCAGTCTTTTGTAACTTGATGCTGTTATCCAGGAGGTATTCAATAAACACCTTTTGTATAGAGCTTACCATATTTGGCATTATAGGTAAAAATGAAGGTCCCTGATCTTGAAGATTTTGTATTCTGGTTAAATACCTTAATATAAGGTTTGGGTTTTTGTTGTTGTTGCTTTGTTGTTTTAGAATGGTAGTGAGTAAAATTCTATGGATACCACAGGGACTCTTGAAATGTTACTGGAATATCATTTTGGGTTTCAAAGGCTTTCAGAGATATGAGTGTGCTGAGCCCTGCCTAAACGCAGGGCCAAATGGGTATAAAGGGCACAGCTTACAGTGTTAGGAGAACTGGACTGTTAGGATGCTTCTTTTCTGTGTCAGTTTGCTGTAGATTGGGCATGGTGGGCCAAGGAGCAATGGAGGGAACTGTGTGTTTCAGCCAAGCCCCAATGTCAGTTCTGAGATTCAGAGTAACTGGGAAGGAAAGCATTTCATGATTTTCCTCTTCACTTATTATTTAGAAGTATCTGTGTTATACACATTTTGATGAAAACATTTTGGTTTTTCTGAGAATAAAACCAATATATGACATTTATTAACAATTGTGAAATAAACTGAATAAAATCCTTGTTAATCTTATTTCTCAGTTGAATCTTGAAAATACTCTTTTCCAGTTGTGGAGTAATGCCAGCAAGAAAGAGCAGACAGAGCACTTTTGGAGCCTAAAAATGAAGTGGGACAAATACACACAAATAGTTCAGAATCAAGAAAAATAGAAACAGCCGTTCAAACTGATTTTTTTCTAAACTAAAAAATCCTATGAATTTTTAGTTAAAATGAAGGAAATTGATCAGAAGGATGACCAGCTTTCTAAGGAGTTTTGGTTTTCAATAATATTCTTTGATGAGATAGCTGTGAAAGGTTCTACTTGCTTAACCTTCCTGATTCTAGCACTGTAGAAAGGCTGTAGGACACTGCTAGTTTGGACTTGGGATGGATGTGAGACTTTAGTTTCTTTTCTTCAGTCAAGCCCTGTGTCCTCTAAATGCAAGGTCTGTTTTTCACTAGATATTGTTATTCCTGGACTCAACAGCTCCACAGATGTTCAAGCAAGAATCAATGCTGGTGAGAGCATCCATATCATCCGGGGGACGAAAGGTGAGAGCCTAGTCAAGGGCCTTTGTCTGAGAGTACTAAGCTGAGAATCAGAATAAACACGGTTTAATCTAGAGAGGGCATAGGAATCATCCCATAAGAGCGTCGCAGTTGGGAGAAACGTGAGAACATGGCATTTCTATGAGCTGACATTGAACTTCAAGGGTATCTGTCAGTAACTTGAAAGAAGAAATTGGGGGGTTGGAGAGATGGCTCAGTGGTTAAGAGCACTGCCTGTTCTTCCAAAGGTCCTGAGTTCAATTCCCAGCAACAACATGGTGCCTCACAACCATCTGTAATGAGGTCTGGTGCCCTCTTCTGACCTTCAGGCATATACACAGACAGAATATTGTATACATAATAAATAAATAAATATTTTTAAAAAAAGAAATTGGGGTTCCCATGTTTCTGTATCTTTTGTTTTTATGGGAAATCTTGGAGTGAATGTGCATAGCTATAAAGAGAGCAAACTGAGGGAAAGAGGGTAGCAGGTTGTAGGCAGCGTGTGCCGCTGTGTCATTTACATACAATTTCTTTGAGCCAGGGTGGTGGTTCCAAGCTAGGAAATATATGCTGCTCATGAATTAGTGCAGATACTAATTGTGCATTGCACAACAGAATTTTTAGTGTGATAATTTTAAAAAGTCCAATATGATGATGGGCGCACACCTTCAATCCCAGCACCCTGGAGGCAGAGGCAGGCAGATCTCTGTGAGTTCGAGACCAGCCTGGTCTATATAGTGAATTCAAGGAAAGCCAGAGCTATGTAGTGAGACCCTATGTCAAAAAACAAAACAAACAAAAAACAATCAAGGTGGTTTAGTGCCTTGTAGAAACAGACTACAGGTCTTGAATTAACCCAACCAAGCAATAGAGGATACTGAAGCATAACAGTCCATTTTCCAGACCAGGAAGAGAATCTGGGCTAGAGTGCCCGAGAGCACAAAGCTTGCTTTTCACAGGTCCTGTGCACGTCTCCCATTGATTGTTACTTTCTGGAGTGATTACCTGTATTCTTCTCTAGATGTTAATGTGGTAGATTTAGCAATCAATATTTACAGAAAAAAAAAATGAGTCGTTTTGAATCTAGACTTTAATCCTGTCCTTATTGCGGGTGTCTTGTGGGATAGGATTGAGATCTTAACTTTATAGGCACTTCCCAGCCCATGATGCCTGGAGTTTCTCAGGGTTGGCTATAGTTAATGCAGGATCCTAACAGTTTGTCTCATATCTCTTAGGGACATACATCCGCACCAGTGATGGACGGATCTTTGCTGTCCGGGCAACTGGCAAACCAAAGGCCCCTGAAGATGGTCGGATGGCTGCCTCAGGTGTGGTGGCCTTTTACTTTCTATTGACCTATACAACATTTATTTGGTTTATTTATAATTAATGTACTTCCTAAATAAATAACATATGATTTGTAATTTAGAACATGAAAAAGGGATAGGTGATGAAAAATAAGTTTTTCTTTCCTCTTCCCAATCCTCCTTTTCGATACATGGTAAAGTTTTGTGTGTGTGCATAGAAATATAATTGTGTGCATTTTAAGTGGATAGTTTTTCTTTGCATTTTAAAAACAAATGTTAATATACCATACTTTATTGCTTTCACTCACCAGTGATAGCTCATTTCTTATCTTTTGTTCTAGACATGCCTTGCTGAAAGTTTACTGCTGATTTACACTTAGGTTATTAGTACTGGCTTGTGGGTGTATTTATGGAACACACTCCTAGAAGTAGAATTTTTGGTCAAGGGTGTATCCATGGCATATGAACAATGTTGAGGACTCTTGCCAAGTTCTCCTCAACAGAAGTGGTTTTCTTGTATCATCCTACCACTGAGATAGGAGAGCTAGACTGTCCCTAGCTTCAGTTCTAGCCTTCACTTGTGGACTAGAAGAAGGGAGCGTCTATATTCCCTGCACCAAGACCCAAGGATTATTAATTTCCCATTAATTCCTGTCTTTCCTTGCCTTCCTATTATATAAATTATTTGTAAGTTGAATATACCATGCTATTTTATCTATAAATACTTCAATATACATCTCTTAAGATTAAGGACATTCTCTGGGTGATGGTGTTGCACACCTTTAATCCCAGCACTTGGGAGGTAGAGGCAGGTGGATCTCTATGAGTTCAAGGCTAGCCTGATCTACAAAGTGAGTTCCAGGACAGCCAGGCTGTTACACAGAGAAACCCTGTCTCAAAAATTAAAAAAAAAAAAAAAAAGATTAAGGGCATTTACATCCTAGCTACAACATCATAAAAGAACTAAAATAAAAGAACTAAAAAATTAACACTAATTCATAATCTTATATAACATTCAACTTTTATCCAAGTTTCCTGGTTTTCCAAATTGCTCTTCATGGCTAGATTTTCGTTCTGTCTTAAATTGGATAGGCTGTATTTTAACTTCATTTATATCTTTTTATCCCTTGGTCAATAACTGTTGCTCCCAGAAAAAAATCTGACTAGTTAGTTTTAAGAGAAATTTGTAGCTGGGAATGGTGGTTCACATCTTTAAACCCAGTATTCAGAAGCAGAGGCAGGCAGATCTCTGTGAGTTTGAGACCAACCTGGTCTACATAGTAAGTTACAGGTCAGGCAGCTATACACAATGAGACCTGGTCTCCAAAAAGGGGAAAATCTTCCCAGTATTTCATAGGATTCATTTGTAGAGTTGTTCAGACAGAGGAAGGTGCAGGAAGGTTACATGTCCTTTCATGGGTAGACTTGCACATTAATTTTGTTGTTGTTGTTGTTGCTATGAGAGAATACTTGGCAAGAAGAAACTTAAAGGAGGAAAGGTTTAGTTTGGCTAAAGTTCAAGGGAATACAGTTCAGAAGGAAGACATGGCCGCAGAAGTTGAGGCAGCTTCTCACCTATGTGCACAGTCAGGACACAGTAACAAACAGGAGTGCTCAGCTCACTTTCTCCTCCTTCTCTCACACCCTAACCCATGGAGTGACGCTGCTGCTCACTTAAGATGGGTCTCCCTGACTCAGTTAGCTTAATCTAGAAACTCTCACAGACATGCCCAGAAATCTGTCTCCTATGTTTTTCTTGATCGTGGTCAAGTTGATCGTCAGTATTAACCATCACAACTTGTTTCTGGAATCAAAAGATTTCTGTCTTTGAGACTAGAGAAAGTTGACTGGATGACATTTAAATATCAAACAGTGAGAATTTGGGGACCACATTATAAGATTTATTCTTCATAGAATTGTTTTTCCCTTTCCATTCTGGTTTCATTTACCTGTGTTTTCTCTCCAGGTTCCCAGGGGCCTCCTCTTGCATCCACAAGCAATGGCAGACACAGTGCCTCATCACCCAAAGCCCCTGATCCTGAGGGGCTGGCCAGGCCCGTCTCTCCTGACAGCCCAGAAATCATCAGTGAGCTTCAGCAGTATGCAGATGTGGCCGCTGCTCGGGAATCCCGCCAGAACTCCCCCAGCATCAGTACCGCCCTGCCTGGCCCCCCAGCCCAACTTATGGACAGTAGCACCATTCCTGGGACAGCTCTTGGAACTGAGCCATGCCTTGGGGGTCATTGCCTCAATAGTTCCCTCTTGGTGACTGGCCAGCCCAGTGGTGGCAGGCACCCAGTGCTGGACTTAAGGGGCCACAAGCGAAAGTTGGCCACTCCATCTGCCACCCAGGAGTCAGTCCGTCGGCGGTCCAGGAAGGGCCATCTGCCAGCCCCCGTGCAGCCCTATGAACACGGGTATCCAGTCTCTGGCGGGTTTGCCATGCCACCCGTCTCCTTAAATCATAACCTCACCACCCCCTTCACCTCCCAGGCTGGGGAGAATTCCCTATTTATGGGCAATACCCCCTCCTACTACCAGCTGTCCAATTTGCTGGCAGATGCCCGCCTGGTGTTTCCAGTGACTACTGACCCTCTGGTGCCAGCAGGCCCTGTCAGTTCCTCTTCCACGGCTACCTCAGTCACTGCCAGCAACCCCTCCTTCATGCTCAACCCCTCTGTGCCAGGGATACTACCCAGCTATTCACTCCCATTCTCACAGCCACTCCTGTCCGAGCCGAGGATGTTTGCGCCTTTTCCTTCCCCTGTCTTGCCCAGCAACCTTTCTCGGGGCATGTCTGTCTACCCAGGATATATGTCCCCACATGCAGGCTACCCAGCTGGTGGCCTTCTCCGGTCCCAGGTGCCTCCATTTGACTCCCATGAGGTTGCCGAGGTGGGGTTCAGCTCCAATGATGATGAGGATAAAGATGATGATGTGATAGAGGTCACTGGGAAATAGCTAGGAAGCCCTTTCCCACCTCACTTGGGGCCCCTAGCAGGTTGCCCACCAAACTGGAAGGCAGTGAACCTGGTCTTTCTAAAAATAGGGTACTTGGCAGGAGGGAAAAGAAGACAAAGAAGAGTGGTTGGCCGTTATGGCAGGGCTCTATTGCTGTTTATTAGAAGATGAAAAAGAAAAGAAAAAACCCAGAAACCCCAGCAGAGCTGCAATAGTGGGAAATCAGGGACCGAAAACAGGGATGGAGGGGTAGAGCAACCTGCCTCTTCCTTCCTGCCTTGCTTATGCTGTCTGCTCATTTGCCCATCTGAGTGTAGAAGAGCTCATATCCCTTTTTGCCTTTGGGAACATCTCTCCCAAGAGAGCTAGCTGCCTTACTGAGTGTCTTAGTTTGGCCTGGGATGGGAGAAGAGAGAGGGGGAATGAGGAAGATGAGGGCGGGCGTGGGAAACAGACTGAGATTCCATGTGAAGTGGTATCTTTTTAGGAGGTAGGAAGGAAGCAGAACAGGTGTGTGTGTGTGTGTGTGTGTGTGTGTGTGTGAGAGAGAGAGAGAGAGAGAGACTACACACATATGTATGTAGCAGAATGGATCAAGGTGGGAGGGGAGGGAGGGGAAAAGTAAGGTAAAGTAAAGAAATGAACTTTTCTTTTTTAAAGTGTAGATCAGAGTGTGGTGGTTTATGGCTACTCACTTGAACATCACTTGAGTCCTGGAGAAGAGCCGTGGGCATCATTTCCTTCCAGACAGGCAAAGAAGGCCATGCTAACTCGAGGCCCTAGTTTTCGGAGTCACGTGTTTAAGTTGAGGGGCAATCATGAGAAAGGGAGCATTTCCAGTCTCCTACTCTCCCCAGTGGTCATCTCTGAGTAGATGTCTCTTTCCATACAGGCTAGACATACAGGCTGCAGTGAGGTTGAGTTATGTCGTGGTTAGAAAAGACATGCTTCACCAGGGCAGATCCAAGCCCTTCTCTCTCCCTCCCTGTTAGAGAGCTCCATGTTAATTTATTTCTTACGGGCAATTATTTATTATCTTCATTTGGGGCAAGGGTGGTAGGGGGAGGTTATAAGAAAGATAGGAGATAGTAAAGGAAGTTCTAAGATATTCCAGACCCCCTAGCTGCTGGTGGATTAAAAAAAAAAAAGTTTCAGATGGACGGTGAATTAATTAACCAGGGGATGAGAATTAGAATTAACCAAGAGTTAAAGCGACTGTGTTGTGGGGAAGTAGCCTCTCAGGAAAATCAGGGTGCCCTGAGACTGGCTAGTTGGGGGTGGTGAGACTCATTCCACAGAAATTGAAACTTGGGATCATGGACTTTGCTACTGGGAAGTAAGTAACCTCCACGTTTGAACTGTTATCTTCTATGATGATTTTACAGGCCAGTTCTCTCTGCTGAATAGTGAAACTGGATAGGTAGTTGCCGGGTTGAGGTAATGGACTATTGGTTTCCAGTTGGGAATTGTCTTGGCTTCCTCAGCATATTAGGGGGTCAGTGTGGGCCTGATTTCTGTTGCCTCCATCTTCTCTGAAGGGTGTGGGGAAGCCCTTCCATTGTCTGGCTTTTGTTTTAGAACACATGACTTATTCTGGTCTCCCTCCCTATTCTAAATGCGAGGGCAGGAGTTTCTAGTGCTTAAACATAAACACTGGCTGTTTCTTGGTGTGTACTGTGTCCTATAGCTCCCCTGCCCCCGAATATTTCCAGGCAGTTCTTTGTGATGAATAACACACATGATGGTGCCTGACTTTCCCACCTTTCCTTGGCTCCAACCTGATTGGGCAACTGCTAAATCTGCCTCTTAGTCCAATATGCATCTTAACTTGCAACTCTTGACTAGTGGCTTCCATTGTTGGGGGAGGAGGGAGCTTTAAGGCAGATACTGGGGTTTTCTCAGACAGGGAGATGCTGATGGGGTATGTTGTATGTTGTGTGTGTACTGCCCAGAACACCAAAAGTGGACTTTATGTTTTCATACGCACCCTGTCAGACACTGAACTCTTCTACTCATAGAAGCCTTAGATCTACAATTTAGCTATGCAAATTATTTTAATAACTTAAAATAGCAGTTCCAATCAGTGCTTTCTCTGAAATGTAGCCCAAAAATAGATAGTTGAGGCATTTTAATTGGAGTGGGCTCTTAGGTTGAAGCTGGCGCAGTGTGAGCGAGCTAGTCCTGATCTCTGTAATTTGAAAAACACACACAGAACTTGGGTTACATCAATGCCTCTGGAACACTGAGCTCCCAGAGTTGTGTGTGTTAGCTGTGTCTGTGTTTATGTCTGTGTGTGTATTATATAGATGCCTCTCATACCTTGGAACACTGAGCTCCCAGAGGGGCTGTGTGTGTGTGTGTGTCAAGTGTGTCTGTATTTATGTCTTTGTGGGTACATGGATGCCTCTCAGACCTTGGAACATTGAGCTCCTAGAGGTTGCATGTATCTGTGTCAAGTGTGTCTGTGTTTGTTACATGGGTGCCTCTCAAACCTTGGAACACTGAGCTCCCAGACTTGTATGTCTGTGTGTATTCCTTGCCAGCCAGGGAAGTGGGTGTTTCTGTGTTCACAAATAGGAAATCACTAGAAATCATTTCAGTAGGGAACTGAAACCAGTCAGTTTTTAAGCTGCCAGGAAGTAAATGGGTATTCTGAGAGATGGCATGTGTCTGTCCTACACGCTGTCATTCCAGGACTTTGAACTCACTTCAGCTTAGCAGAGGCCATAACTCTAGGCAAGGCTTCTGGTTAAAAAAGGCTTTTTGTGATAATGTGCAGCTTCTGTTGCATAGCGGTGGAATGAGAGCATGGGAGATTGAATTGCCTGTTGATTCCGTGGACTTTGGCACCTGTACCTCCCATCCAACAAGTCTAAAATATTTGGCTTTTCCTGTGGGCTAGTGGGGAAATGTGCATGCACAGCAAACATGAGCATGTGATGAGGGGCGTAGGGAATGTACAGTTAGTACTGTACTTAGATTGGAAACACTTGATAAGGGGACCTGTTGGCCTATGCTTGGAATCCTAGCCCTCAAGAAGCTGAGGAAGGAAGATCAGCCTGGTCTACGCACACAGTGAGACCCTGGGCAAAGGCAGACAAAGATCAGACTCATGCATTTTCTCTTCACTAGTTCTATTTATCTTTCATGGAATGTTTTGAAAGTTCTCTCAAGTCCAATCATTCTGGTGTATTCTAAATTCTGATTCTAGGGAACACTACTAAATGATGCAGGATGACACTTGAGATACTTGATTCCCTTTTCTTAGTCTGTATCCCCTCTGGTAGGAATGGAGTAGCTATTCAAGAAAGGAAGTACATGACCCCTGTTGGGTCAGATCCTTCTTGATAAGCATCTTTGAAGTCCTCGACCCTTTGAGTTATGCTACTTAAGTATCTATTGTTTCCTGGCTTAAAGATAATGCTGGCTGGTCCTTGGAACTCTTTTCTAGGAGTTTATGTGTACATTATATATTTGTGACTTACAGCTAAAAATGAAGTTCCTCACTCTGGGAGCATGAAGCAAAGAGCTGATTAGTTGAAACAAAGCATGAGCCATATAGATGGGACTGCTGGTAGCAAGCAGTCAGTATCTTTAAGCCTGACATTTTTTGCTCTGGAACTGAATACTCCCATGGGTGAAGATTTTCTGGAGGCTTTACATTCCTTGTTCCTAGACAGACTCTTGGCATCCCCCTTCCCTTTGGTTTCTACATGGCCAGACCTGAGACATGGCTTTCTGTGCATTCAACTAGGTTGCTCTCTCCCCATCACAGATGCTGAGAGAAGTCACCCTTCCTCCAAAGGATGACTGTGGCTCCTCTGCTGACTAATTCCCAGGAAATCAGCACCTCCAGGCTGAGCTGAAAGTGCTGTGCTCTGCCCATTGCTCACCATCAGATTCCGTTTCCTTTACACTGACCTTTGCCCCTGTGTCTTCAAGTTGCTGTGATCCTAAATGTCTGTTCTGTGCCACTAGCTTGGCTCTAGGCCTTTTACGAATACCTGAGTCCTATAATGATGAACTAAGAAGGCAGTGTCCACCCTCTTTGCTTTTCAGGGACCCAAGTCTGCGCCTTTCCCCTGCCACAAGTCTGTTTGCTATAGTCACCTAGTGTGCTGGGGAGAGATAGCCAGGCAGACTGCATAATCTACAATGTAGAGGGCTGAGGGAGGTTTGGGCACTCTGCTACCACTACTAGGATGATGTTCAGATGAGAGGGGACCTCATACTGTGACCTGACCCAGGACCCTCCCTGGAAGAGAGTTCAGCCCAGCTGTGTTTGAGTGTGTGTGTGTGTGTGTGTATGCGTCTGCATGTGTGTGTGCTCATGTGCACTGTGGTGTAAAATGACTGTTATCTGGTTGTGTAACTCAGGGTAGGCTGGGGACTCACCAGAAGAATCCCTCCAGCCTGCCCAAGACAGGTTTTTTCCTTGTACCCTCTTCAGAGGGATCAGAGAGAGGGTCCAGGTGGGTTGAAGGGGTTGTAATGGATAACCACTAAGGCCACACTGCTGCCAGAGGAGTTGGGGGAGGTGGGAGGAGATGGGTTGCCCCAAGGCCCTGGTACCTGGCTTTAGTTTTCTGTCTTCTTTCCTCAGGACGCCCCTGAGGCCCGGGACCCATGCCTGGCTTAGAGGACCATCTGTGGCTGGTGATCCAGCTGCTAGTGTGATCATGGGCTTCCCTCTCTCTCAGCAGGGCAGGCACTTCTGCCCCAGAGACTGGGCAACTGGCTGTTTCTATGACGTATTTATTTTTACTTGTGTTTCATGTCACTTTTTTAAAAAAGCAAACAGAACAATTGTAAGTCAGTATAACTGCCTATCAGTTTTCTTTATTTCTCTTTTTGTAAAATAAAATTTAAACTCGAGATGTTGTTTGATCAAGCAGTTGTCTGGCCAGCAGCTTAGCTGGGTGGTGACAAAAGGACGATCACAGAACAACGGGCACGTGGGTAGCACAGGCTGCTAACAGGTCCTGTAGGCAGTGTCACTCACTGGGCTTTTCCTATTTTTGCACCCGAAAATGGTTGAGTGCTCCTGCATTTCCAGGCTCCTGGTAGGACAATGGAGCAGATTTGGAGTTGCTAAAGCTAGTTAGTCCTCAGCTGTGGAGCGTCCTGTGGAGGCAGCCCTTTTCTAGGCCGAGTGGCTCAGGACTGAACTAGCTTCAATCCTTCAGATGGTGGGGCTGGCAGACGTGGGTAACATTTTAACTGTGTGAGTATTCTCTGACGGAGTTAGACTGGCTATAACAGGTTTTGGAAAGCAAGAGGTGGGGAGGAAAGACAATTCCATCTACCTCCATAAATTTAATTATTTTAAGATAAGGAGCCTGGGGGAGGGATATTCTCAGGCAGTTTACACAGAACGAAAGAGCCTCAGTTGGTGATTCCTGGGAAAGAGGAAGGGCAGGTCTAGGTTTGGGGTAGGGTAGGATAGGTTGCGACATGAGAAGAGGTGAGCTGATCTGAGACGTGTCAGAAGTGTAGAAAGGGTCTTGCAAAGGCGTCTGCTTCCCCCTAGTGGCCACCCGATAATTGGCATTGTTGGAAACACTGGGAGATGAAGCTTGATGGGCTGATCACCAGATGCAGGCCAACTCTCCCACAGAACTCCTGGGACACTCCAGGCTAGAGGAAGTGAGCAGAGAGAACAAGATGAGGAAAGGGTGTCTTCTGGCAATGGTTTCCTGAGAGCCTAATCAACCTCTGAGAAACAGAATTAACCATGGGCCCTGAAGGCAAAGGCTGTCCCTGAACCTGGATCATGTGCCCCTTTTGTGTCTCAACTATATCTGGTATACAGTCCCTCTGCTCGAAGCAGCCAATCATTGTCCTTGTTCGATGTTCACAGGTAAAACAGCTATAATTACCTTCCTGCTGGCCCTACCCTGGAGATTTTTCAATAACCACCCTGCCAGGCAGACTGTCCAGAGCACTGGATGAAGCTCAAGATCAGGTTACCCCATGACTGCTGACTTTTCCCGAAGTCATCTTCCTGTTATACTCTTTGGGGTGATCATCATTCCAAATAACTACCTTGTCAGAAGCACCAGGATAGTCCTTGGACCAGCCTGTCTTGCAGCAAAATTTATGAACAGCCAAGTTTACAAGCATAGTTACCTTCCTTACCTCCATCATAAATCTGGGCGTCTCAGTGCTTTGAGGTTTATGGGTCATCAGATACTAGCTCAAGACTGAACCTGCACTGAAGGGGCTTGCACTTACCTATGCTATATTAAACAAATTAGACCTCCCAACAGACACATCCACAGCACTGAAGTAGAAGCTTGGGAGAAAGGCATTCCCTGAAGTGAACTGGAGGCCAGGGCTTTCATTTGGTCATTAATTGTTTCCAGCTCCTGGAACGGTCCTGATAGGAAGTGGCACTTAATAAATGTTGGATGGAGGAATGATCACTCCTCTGCTCACCAAAGATCTGATGGGTAGGTGAGGGGAGACATGGATATTTGCACTCTCTAGAGGTAGTCCAGAGCTTCTTTGTTTAGCCCCGACTGGGATTCAGCTTTCTCAGATGTAAAACTGAGCAAGTAGCCCGACCCTGCAGGGTTCCCAGGCCTCTCCTGAAGACTCAGTAAGAAGGTGGCAAGAGTTAAGTGGTACTATTGCTAAGAGGCCGACATTGCTGTGCTGATCCTCCCTAAAACGCTGCGCTTCCCCTCCCTCCTCTACTGGTTGTTGCTTGGTCACCTTCAGGAGTTCTGGTTTGTTGGAAGTAGGAATGTGTGTTGTGGGCGCTGCTATTCCAGCCAGGTGTGTATGCGGGGGGGGGGGGGGGGGGGGGGGGGGGGGGGGGGGGGGGGGGGGGGAGTTTAAAAGGCGTGCACGTTACCAAGGAGACGGGGCGGGGCAGGCCTCCGCCCACCGAGTCTGGAGCGCACGCGCCCACAGCCACGGCCACGTCCCGCCGCGAGAGGGGCGGAGCGAGCGTGAGGGGCTAGCGCGCGCAAGCTCCGCGACTGAGCAGTAACCTCCTCCGGCGCAGGTCCGCGTCCGTGGGGACGCTGTTGAGGTGAGGGCGGAGCCGGAGGCGAGGCGTTCCCATTGGGGTGTACGCCGGGGCTTCCCTCATCCTCCTTCGCGTCTGGGCCCCGTTGCCGGAACCGCCCTCTGCACCGTGTCTGGCCCACTGGCGGATCGGCCTGGTTCCCGGCCTGAAAGCGAGGGTGAGGCGGTCCTGACCTCTCGGTGCGGCCCACTGCCTCGGCTTCGGGTGCAGGCTCGCCCCGGGTCAGTGGGACTGGGGAGAACGGGCGGGGCTCACCTTTCAGCTCCGCTTCCTGGGGCCGCGCTCCTCGTCGCGACTGCAAACTTTATTGCGTCTCAGAAGTTGCAGACGTGCGTGAGGCCGGGAGGCGAGCGGGGGCTGGAAGCCGAGGGCGCGGAGTGGCGCCCTCCGGGACTCCTAGTGCCCAAGTTTGCTGGCGCAGGTCCCTTTAAGGGCCCGGCCCTCCGCAGAGCGCACGTGAGCGGCCACAGGAAGCCTGCGTCGAGCCTCAGCTCCGGCTCCGACGCTTTCGGGGCCAAGGAAGGCAAATGCCCTGGACCTCTGACGTTAGTGGAAACTGAGGCCCAAGAGAGTGCCCAAGGTCAGCAGCTGGGACTGCGTTGACGCCAAGTATGAGAGTTAGGCCCAGTGAAGATCCCACCAGATCTGACGTTGTGACTCTGGATTTGGCCTGATTTCCCCCCGGGGTCTGAGGGTGGGGTGGGCTCGCTTGTAGACATCCCGTCCAGTGGGCTTTCACTGGAAAGGGGTTGCTCAGGGCCTGGTGTCCTGCTTGGCTCACTGCCTGTGTCCAGGGCTGACTTGACTGTTCGTTTCTCCCCTGTCCTCTCCCCAGCGCCGGAGCACTGGAGCCCTGCTGTTACTGGATGCTATGAGTTGCTAAGAAGTGAGCCTGGCTATTTAGGTGAGCCTCCTCATCCCATCCTTGCCTTTCTCTACTGGGTGTGGGGGAATTTGTCATACTTCTCCTTCCTAGGCTGACAAAAGCTTTGGGAGTGGGCAGAAGCGTATCGCCCCGTTTCTGAGCAGTTTGGGAAGTGGAAGGAAGAGAAAGGTTGGGAGCTAAGTAGTTCCCTTACAACAGAAGTGTGTGGCAATGCTTGTCACTCGCAAGGCAGGCTGTGGCCTAGATGCTGAGAGCTTCTAGCCTTGAGTACAGCAAGGACCAACATGGGTGAAATGCCTTTCTGGAAACCAGAGGAGAGAAACACTGGTAGTGGGTTGGAGTCAGGCTATTTGGGGTCCCAGTCCCTGTGTGTGGGTCCAAGTGGCTCTGTGCTGTACCTATGTGGCCTATGACAGGCATCTCGACTTCCAGCCACTTGTTTCCTGGTGCGCACCACCGTATTGGATTCTTCTGAGGATTAGTGAAGTGGCTGGGTTTCAACATTCAGACAGTGCCTAGGATGTATTAAGTACTGGGTGGAAGAGTTGTTAGCATATTATCAGAAAGGAATTGAAACGAACTGGAGCCAAGGATGAGCAGGGCAGAGAAGGCAAACAGAAAAGATAATGAAACTTCTAGGCAAGAGTACAAGATGCACGAGACCAGTGGGAGGCACCTCAGTGTCCTGACATGAGTTCAGAAATACTCTTCCTTCTTTGTACGCCAGTTCTGTCTGCCCATTGACTCCAGAAACAAACTGAGCATATCTTATACTCAGAAACTTCAGGGGGGGGAAAAATCCATTTAGCTAAGTTTTCTATAGGGCTAAAGCATTGCCTTTTCAGCTTGAAAACCCTTTACTTTTTAAATAGGATTTTTAAAATTCAATTGTATTTCTTACGTGTGTGGATGGTTTTCCACATAGGTATGTCTGTGTATCACTTGCATGTCTGATGCCTTTGGGTGTTGGATCCCCTGGAACTGGAGTTACAGACGGTTGTTAGCCATCATGTGGGTGCTAAAAGTTGAACCCAAGTCCTCCGAAAGAGCAGCCAATGTTGTTTGTTAACTGCTGAGCCATCTCCCCAGCCTTTTAAAACACTGTGTGGGTGGTGTGCAGGGTAACTTAGGGAGTTGGTTCTCTTCTTTCACCATGTGGGCCTGGGGATTGAGCCCAGGTTGTCAGGCTTGGCAGCAGGTACCTTTCCCTGCTTAGCCATCTCACTGACTCCTGGCTGAATTTTAAGTAACTAGAGCGGGAAAGTTTCCCTAGTTCATGTGTCTCTTTCTTTTTAACTGTTCTCTGTGCTCTGGTCCCTGGGCTACTCAGATGCAGCCCTCTGGAAGAGTCTGCCTAGAATGCTGGGTTTGTGCCTGGAGACCTTCTTCATCCATTAGGAGTAGTGCCTCCTTTTCCCTCTTGTATTTCCACTCCTCTTCTTTGTTTCTAATCTTCGTGGACTGGCAGAAGTGGAATGACGCTGATGAGCATGGTGTTCATGACTTGAAAACCCACATTGGACTTTGCTCTGTCCTCTGAGGCTGTTTTGATCTCAGCCTTTCTAGTTTTAGAGTTCTAGTTCTGCTGGAAATCCAGGTCCCCACAACCAGATGGGTCCACAAACAAAGAAAAAAGCATTTCCCATAAATTTTCTTCTTGTGGCCCATTTTCTCCCAGTGATTTTGTTCATTATGGTATAACTGTTTGTTGGTTTGGTTTAGTTTTTGGTTTTTCAAGACAGGGTTTCCCTGTGTAACAGTCCTAGCTGTCCTGGAACTAGCTCTGTAGACCAGGCTGGCCTTGAACTCACAAGGATTCACCTGCCTCTGCCTCCCGAGTGCTGGGATTAAAGGGGTGCACCACCACCGCCCGGCCTGATATACTGTTTGTTAACGAGTGTTTGAACTCCACATCTGTCAGTCCGTCCCCGGCTCATATCTACCACCGACACACCACCACACACAGTAGTGCATGAGGCTTGAGGGTGCCAGGCTGGTAGTATGGCTCAGTTGCAGGAAGGAAGAGGCAGACAAGGTGGTATTTCGCCCAGCTTGGGGGAAATCACTCCAGTCAGGGCCTGGAGTATGACTCAGTTTCCTTGGGTATGAGCAGGGCTGTTAGTGCCAGGCAGAGTTGTTCCAGCGTCAATGGCTATGATTAGGAAATAAAGAGGCTTGTGGCTTCAGTCATCTGTAGCTCCCTTCTAGGTCACCGTGTGTAAATACCTGAGGCCCCTCCCCTCCTGGGTCAGAGCACTAAGGCATGGCTGAGGCTGGGCCAGAATCAGCAGGCAGGCAAGGTTAAAGCAGGCTGCCAGCCTCCTCTCCCTTCTGTCTCCTTTGCAGCTGCCTTGGGGTGCTGAGAGGGAGTCCCAGAACCATGCCGGATCTCCTGCTCCTGGGCCTGATTGGGGGCCTGACTCTGCTGTTGCTGCTGACGCTGCTGGCCTTTGCTGGGTATTCAGGACTGCTGACTGGGGTGACAGTGAGTGCTGGATCACCCCCAATCCATAACATCACTGTGGCCTACAAGTTCCATGTGGGGGCCTATGGTCACATTGGACGGCTTTTCACAGAGAGCTGCAGCATCTCTCCCAAACTCCGTTCCATCGGTGTCTATTATGACAACCCCCATACGGTAAGGAGCCTCCGTGGGCTTCTGCCTCTTGGATAAGCCTGGGCCGGATCATGGTGGGGTAGGAGAATCTTGTGTTTCCAAGTAAAGGACAGGGAACTCTAAGCTGGTCCTGCAGTTACCTTCTCTCTCTAAGTTTAAAGCCCTTCCAGATTTAGGCTGGGCCACCGAAGCTTTGTATTCGCGCACAACTGTGTCCCTCTGCTTAGGTCTTCTCAAGGACTTCTGAGTGCAGTAGACCCCACCTGTCTGGACCTGGATTCTCTGTCTCTTGCTGTCCTTCTGTTACCTGTCTCCATTAGAGGCTAGTGCTCCTAGGCTGTCTGCCCTTTCTCTAGGGTTAAATCTTGTTTGTCTGTTTTCCATTCCTCAGCGTTCATGCCAGGTCTGTGGACTCTCGAGGACCAAGAGGGCAGCTTCAGGGCATGGGGCTCAGAATCCTACCTCTCTAGTCACTGTGGTGATTTCCCACCCAGTGATGCAGCTTTTCTGTAGACCTCAAGCTACCTGTTGGGAGAGGGCCAAGTGGAGCCAAATGCCCAAGATGCTGGGCTCAAAAACTAATCCAGCATCACTATTACCCTGTAGGCGTCTGGCTGAACCGAAGCCTACAGTGAGTCAGGGCTTGCCAATGTAGTTTCCTGCTGTGCTATGGGGTGGTGCTGTCCATAGCTAGATGGGCTGGCAGCTCTACCAAGGGCTTTTTAGCCTCCATTTTTGAGCCATACCAAACAACCCTGGGGGATTTTTGTTTGGATTCCTCGGTCTGATTTCCTTGCCTGGAAAGCTCAAGTGAGCAAGCCCTACACTCTGCCTAAAGAGAAGGCCTCAGTGGGACCCTTGGTGAAACAAGGATGTGCTGATCCCTCTCTCTGTCCTCTCTGCCCACACTCTGGACATGAATTGGACATGGCATTTCACTCAGTAAACTGTAGTTAGCTTGTCAGTCCCATGTAGATGATTTGCCAATAAGAAACTGGACTCAGTGTCTCTAATTAGAAGTTTGATTTGGAGGTTTTAGGAAGAATACCTCAAGCATGTAGAGAAGATTCAGATAGATGAGTCTTCTCACATGAATAGAATTTGCCTGTACTGTGTAGGGCTGACTGAATTAAGAAATTATAAGAAACATGAGAACAAAGGCCTGGAGTCTTGGGGTGAATAGGAAATGTGATCTTTTGGGTATGGGGTGGGTAGAGAAAGAGAGAAGGGGGGATGAGAAGATTCCTTGGGCTAGTGGAGGAGGTGTGACATCATTTCCCACCTTTGTGTTAGGAAGCTGACTGAAGGACAGTGGAGGAGGGAAGAAGATGAGGCATAGAGGCCATTGAGAAGGTTGCCTGGGTCAGGTGAGAGGTGGCACAGGCTGCCTGAGGGATGACTGCACATTGTCTGAGGCTTTGCACTCACATGGCTGGAGATGGCGTTACCTGGATTCAGAAGCACTGAGGCCCAAGTACAATTGGAAGCACATAACCCTTTTATGTTGACGGTGTTCAATCCAGGGTCAGAACCTTTGGCATTGGCCACTTCTTCCAATCAACTGTCATGTGACTCTCTTCAGGAATAGATGGGCCCTGGGGCTCCAGTGCTGACTGAACACCGTCTGCCTTGGATGCAGGTACAAGGGAGTTGCGCCCTGAACATACAGCCTTAGAACTGGCAGTTTGGAATCTGATCATATCATATTACTTTTTTAATGTACAATCTTAGACATATCACAACTTTTATGAACTAATGTTTCCTCCTCTGCAACATCCTAATAAAATACTTGCTTCATAGAGAGACTGACAGGATTCACGTCAGTGGCAAAGTGAGGCAGTCATCCCAGCACATAGCTCTCCACAGATGTTTAACAAGAAAGCGTGGGAAGTGAGACTGACCTGGCAGTGGGTGTCCGGTCAGCCTAGAAGATGAGTGAAGAGGTTAAAGTGACCACTTTGATTCTGCACCTGCCTAACTAGGAAACTTGGGTCACTCCAGAAGATAGCTTTTTTTTTAATTTTAGGATTTTTATTTATTTATTATGTGTACATTAATCTGGTTGTGTGTATACCTGCAGGCCAGAAGAGGGCACCAGATCTCATTATAGATTACTGTTAGCCACTATGTGGTTGCTGGGAATTGAACTCAGGACCTCTGGAAAAGGAAAAGAACCTAGTGCTCTTAACCTCTTGAGACATCTCTCCAGCTCCCTGGAAAGATACTTATGATAGCAGGATTATATCTTGGCGTACACTTGGGGTAGCACAGGGACACTTGAGGCTCTCTGTGTTCCTGAGCTAGACATTGTCCAGTGGTGATTGTAAAAGGGCTAGGGAATCATGAACTCCCAGGATTCAGGGATTCACAGCCATCTGTCAAACCATCTGGTCTACATTCTGGTGCTGTAACAGGTATAATAGGTGTGTGGTGGTACGGTGGGGGAGGAGACTGGGATGAAGATAGCCTGAACAGGGTACTAATCTTTTTTTGTTTTAGTCAATACATAGTTGAGTCCTGGCTCTCTGTACCAGGCCTGTGCTTGGCGGTGGGGTACCATGGAGACCATGAGGTATAGTTTGTTGAGTACTTAGGGTACAGCATCATTTGGGGTGAAGATTTAGGAACCTGGAGATGCTGGAGATGAGACCCTGTTTTTCTCCTTAGAAAAACTGAAAATTCTTGTTTGCTACTTCCTAGTCGCCTTTGCTAGTAGTGGCCAGCTTCTTGGGCATACTACCTCCAGTCTCCCAACACAGTACAGCAGGAGCCAGATGGGCTTCTCTGTGATTGTGGCAGGAAGTGATGCTCTTCCAGGCCCTGAGAAAAGCAGTGAGTAGCCAGGTCAGAGAGATCACTCACCCTGCTGAGGTATGAACCAACAGCTCCCTCGACATGACTATTCCTATCTCAAGCTGTGCAAGAGAGAAGACGATTCCTGAGAAAGGCTTAGGGAAGCTCCACCTTTTCAGTATGGGTCTAGAAAGTGGCAAGGAAGAGACACCTCCAAGGCAGGACAGTAGCAGTTGCTGTAAATTTTTTCATATCATTTACTGCTTACGTCTGGAGTCCTAGAGTCTTGGATAGGAGGAAAGTATGAGGTCTGAGCAGATGGTTCCTGTGAGTCAGGAGGAAGGATTCCATTCCCTGACCCTGAAAGCCTTGACGTAGTTGAGGGCAAAGGGGTGTAGGGAGGCACTATGTGTCAGAGAGTGGACAGTACCTGATATGGATCACAGGTGGTGTTCTCATCAATGGCCAGCATTCATGGAGTACAGGCCATTTCCTCTTGAAGGTGTCTGGCGAGTAGGAGTGAGTTCCAGAGGCCACCGTCCCAGACCTGCAATACTTCCCTATCTAATAGTTCACTTCACACTGCCTTTGCTAAGGGTGAGCAGGGTTCCACTCTCAGCCCCTTTCTAAGGTGGGTACTGGAGAGTTGAAAGTTGTCTTTAGCCTTCTCTGCTAGGGTTAAAAGTTCTCTGGGCCCTTCTGTGTTGGAAGGAAATGAAGAACTGGGAGTCCTAACCACGCTGGCCCACAGATAGGCCCTGTGGCTAGGTGCTGTCACCGTTCCTGTAGGTCTGCTCTATCTCCACCTCCTGTCATACCTTCCACATCTACTCCTCTGCTGTTTGGGGCTTATGCAACCTGCCTGTCTACCATTGTGGTAGCTTAGGTGAGGCAAGAGGGTGTGGTAGCTAGTTACATTTACCTGGCCTGGGCAGATGGGATCTGCTGTCCACATCCATCACCAAGCGCCATGCTTTTCCCAGGCATGGAATAATGGAGGAATTGGTGGCATTCTGGGCTTAAAAAATACTATGCCCCTTTCTTTCCATTAGTCCACTGGGAATCAAGGCCTAGAACAACCAAGTTTCAGGGTTCTGACTTGGGTCTGTACCACCCTCATCACTGTTCAGAAGGGTTTGGGGCTACCTTAAGACATGTAGGTCAGATGGAGCTGGGAAGGGATAAGGAGATAAAGTTTCTCAGAGCTGACTTCTTCTGTAGGGTGGTGGAAATAAGGGTTAAGACCCATGCTTTCTTTGCTCCAACTAACCTGTGGATGTTTTCTGCCAGATGGAGCCAGACTATTGCTCTGTAATATGTAAATGTGGGAGAGGTCTCACAAAGTGAGCGACCTTGCTGTTCTTGGGAGGTAAAGTGAGAGGAGAAGACTCTGGATGTGGCCTTCTGTGTCTGAATCAAGGCTCTACCTGCTTCCTAGTGTGTGACTCTAGTGAGTCATTTGGCCTCTCAGTGAGTCTGTCTCATCTATCAAATGAGATGAAAGGATCCCTTCTGCCTCAGGTGCTGAATATTGAACCCAGGGTCTTGTTCATGCTAAATACATCTTCCCCATCCCAGGTTTTATTTTTGTGGCATCAAATTGATGAGGCAAAGGCCCAATGCCTGGCTCCTAATAGCACATAGCACATTTGGCACCAGCTCTGACTGTGAGAGCCTTGTACCATTGGACTTTTTTACCTTCAGGAGCATCTGCACCAGGTGCCCTGAGTCTGAGGAGAGACAGTTCAGGGAAAGGCTGTTGTGTCTCCCTAGCTAGAACTGAATTCTCAAATTCCAGGTGACTGGGTTGCATGTTGCAATTCCAGAGCTTGTCTGCTTAGGTTTGAACCCTGACCCCAACACTGCCTTGCTGTGTGACATTTGCTGTGTAACTTGGTATCCTGGGCTATAGGAACAAGGTTGAGAACAGTACCAACTGACCACACAAGGCTGTTTGGATTTGATGAGCTTACCTGTGGACAGCAGCGTGGTGAGGCCTTGTCAGGTGACCGCAATCAGTAGGACATGCTTCTGGGAGTAGGAGAGACAGTTCCTAAGGTCAGAAAGCCCCAGAATCTCTTTTAGAGTTGACTACTTCCTTCCTTTTGAGCCTAAAGTATGAGTCCTGTCCCCTGGCCTAGTTGTTGGCATTAGCCCATATTCCACCTGGTGGCTACCCCAGGTTTCTAGAACACATGTCTTGGTGTGTTGACTGTATACCAGATCTGAGTAAAGGAGGTCCAGTATACGTCTGTAATTGGCAGATACCACTACATTTTAACCCTGAGAGTACCAGTGCATGCACAGAGCTCTGTCTCTACATCTTCCATTGCCTTGGTGGCTCTTATTGAGAGCTGTCAAGAAAGGGATCAGGGCAGTCCTCTGGGCTTGGACTGGCAGATGATATACCTACCCCTGTTGGCTGAATGGCTGGTGGGCTTGAGGTTGGCCATTTCCACTGAACCCAGTGTGTCAGCTGACATAATTTCTTTTTCTGAATCCTGAAAGATACCAATCATGTTCTATTCATACACTTTTGAGATCTCAGCCAGCCAGTACCCTTGAGATGACTTTTCACTGTGGCCTAATGGTTGCCAGAAAGCTCTCTGGTGGGGGCAGTGGGCTAGAATTAAAATGGACTCATATCTGAAATCTTCAGGTTCCAAGCAATTGCCTTCTCATAGTACTGGGACTGAGGAGGCTGTATACTTTGAAAGAGATGTGCTGAAGTCTGGCATGCCCCGTCTCTTCCTTGGTAGTCTCTCTCTGTCTCTTTGTCTCTGTCTCTCTCCCTCCTTCCTTCTCTTGTTTTTGCTTTTCGAGACTGTTTCTCCATGTAACAGCCCTAGCTGTCCTAGAATTCATTTTGTAAATCAGGCTGGCCTCAAACTCACAGCGATCCACCTGCCTCTGCCTCCCAAGTGCTGAGATTAAAGGTGTGCACCATCTCTGACTGGCATGATAGCCTTGGTTTTGATGGTAGAACCTGGGTGGGCTTTTCTTTCTTCAGTGATGATGGTTCTACCCTGTGTCCTCTCTCCCTAGTATGGTTCCAGTTTGGTGCAGTTCTGGTCCTACTCTTGTTCAGGTTATACCAAACAAATTTGATATGCGTAGAAGGAGTAGACAAATTCTCATGGGGCTAGTTCACTGCTATTGGACCAGCTTGGTCACTTCCTCCTAGCTTATCTTCATAGCTGTCCCATCTCCTTGCTGGTGATCTGGTTCTGCTGCAGGTGGTAGGATTACTGTGGGACCTCTTAAGCTGTCTTCTAAGCTCTGGCCAGGATAGGGAAGGGGCAAACAATGAATGACCTTACTTGTGGAGTTGGGGATACAGACAAACCAAGTCAGAGAGAGGAGAGCCCTTTTGTTCAACACTACTCTGTTACATTAGAGAGGAGCACTTCCCTTTCTTCAGATGATTTGATTGTGGTGTAGGTTTGTATGTGAGGAGCTGTGTGCATACTTGCACCATTGTCAAACATACCAAAGGAATTTTCTGTGAAGGATCCTAGACTTTTCTGCCTTGAGGCTGGAGTGTTGAGAAAAAAAATGAGAAGGCTTCATTACAGTGCAGAAGAAGACTTGTTTCATTTGTGTATGTTTGGGGTCAGAGAGGAAGGGCAGCTCCCAGGAGAATAGCAAAAGGCTTTGAGGAGAGGAGTTGAGCTGAGTCTTGCAGGATGAACTGAAGTTTTCCAAGAAAGAAAACTCAAATAGGTTGAAGAGGAACATTTTAGGCAGAGGAAGTAGCTTACGCAAAGGGAGGCAGCATGGGAAGACGTGGCATGTTTGGCTACAAATAGCTACATGTGGGTGTATGTGGGGGTGTGGTAGGAGAGGAGGCTGGCAAGGCGGGCTGGGCCAGAGTCGGGTTCTGCCCCTCCCTCTGCCACGTACCCAGTGGCTGCCTGCCCTGCCGATTCCTGGTCCTGAGGTGAATTCAGTGTCATGCCTGACCTGTTTGGCTTGGAAGTTTAGTTTTGCCATAGATGTGAACTGGGAGTCCTTGAGAGGTTCTAATCATGTGTTCAAGTATCTTGGCATCAAGAGTGTTTTATTTGTAGTTACATGGGAGACTGCTGAAGTGATCTCAGGAAAGACCTTGAGATCCAAGTTAAGGCAGACAAGGGATAAAGAGGAGTGAGCAGTCAGTGACTAGTGACCATCCTCCCATTTCTCCCTCTAACTTACGTTAACATTTTTTTCTCTTTTCTCTATTCCCCTCCCACTTAGCATAGCTTACATTGGGTAAGGTGTCTTCCCTGTCCCTTGACCTGTCAGTCCAGGCCTGTGGGAGCCTCCTGCCTATTTGACCAGAGCAACACTTATGTATAAGTAATACAGGTGCACCATCTAGAGAGAAGACTTGGTACTGCAGCAGCGTCATGTTTGAAAGGAATGGGAGGGGCTTAAAGAAGGATAAGTTCTAGGGAGAGGAGAAGTGTTACACAGCCATCCTGAAATGTTTACCAAGGGGCATTGAACCTGAAGGATGAATAGGGAAGGACTATATTCAAAGGTTAGGTTTGATAGGCATTCTAGACCCAGGGACTGGTATTATTGGTATCAATAACCAAAAATAGTTATGGGATCTTTCATTAGTGCCAACCCTTTGTGAGTTATCTCTTTTATATGAAAGGCATGTAAGGAAATATCAAGGAATTGGTGCTCTGAGAAGCAAAGGGAGTTGGTTAGAATCATGATTCATGTTTCACTCCCTGGCCAGCCTTCTTCTAGCCATGGTTATGAACACTGCATTATATTGCCTGTCCCTAAAACTCCTAAGTTATGCTTGCTGTCATTGGGTTTAAGGAAGCAACAGGGTCAGAACATTGAGAGTTGGTTAACTCCCTAGAGTCTGCTCAGAGGTCAGAGTCTAGAGTAGAAAAGTGTGACTCTAAGGCAAGGATAGGTTGCCAGAGTAGAGGAAGTGGAGCAGGGCTAAGAAAGCTCTCAGGGAATGGTGACAGGTGTTAAAAGGCCAAAACAGGGTGGTAGGGATGGTAGAAGCAGATGTGTAATAACTTCACAGCGCTGAGAAAGTAGGCTAGGAAAGTAGAGATGGGGGAGTGTCCTGTTTAAGTGTGGGGAGAGGTCAACAGGCTGTGGAAGGAAAGAATTGAATGGTGCCTTAAGATCAGAGTCAAGATGTGTGCTAACTGTCCTGGATTTAGGAACACCTTCCCCTGGGGGCCTAGTCCAAGGGCTGGTACGTAGCTGGCAGGAAAATGACATGAGAAACAGAAGGTTGGACAGACTAGTGCCATCTGCTGCCAGAAGTGAGCACTACCCTGTAGGCCTTGGGTCAAGCCTAGGAAGTGTTGGGAACTCAAAACTCATTGCCTCTGGCTAATGGGAGCCAGAGGAGAAAGGATCATGAGAGGGGGGTGGGGGGGGAGTAGAATAGAAAGTACATATGTTAGGTACTGAGAGACATAGGGAGTATAAACAGGAAGGAATTTGGAAATTGGCAGGTTTTAGATGGAAAAGATATAGAGGCTATTGGGATGATGGCTATCCCTACTTGTGATAGAGTCCTCTTAAACTTTTACTCATATCCTGACCCTCCACAGCAAATGCTAAAGCCCTGCCCAGGCCTCTGTCCTGTGTGTTCCACTGTGCACATTCACGCATACTTGTTTTCATGGAGTAACCAGAAAAGACAGCCACCGTAGGCTTTTTTTCTTTGCTCTCACTCCTCACTTCTGCTGGCTGGCTTACCATGATTTCTCTGTTAGCAAAGCGCTTGCTTCTCTGGGAAATAGGAGGGGAATAAACCAATTGGACTGTGCTAGATCCAGACCCTCAGATGGGCTATTTGCAGTCTTGCTGGAGGCCCTCTGAACTGGGGCCCATAGAAAGTAACATCAGGAGATTGGAGGCAGAGGGTGGGGGTAGCTCAGACATCTTTTTGTTCTTCCTCCCCAAGGCTTCTGGAGGGTAGAGATCAAGTCTTCTTCTTTTCCTTCCTTTCTTTTTTTTTTTTTTTCTCACCATGATTCCTGAGTCATGTATGTAGCTTCGCCTAATTGCTGAAGGAATGGGTGAGGCTGCATAGACATGAGCCATAGCTGGTTTTGGTTGGTAACTCCATCCTTGTATCTAGGTCTCTGTAGCTTGCCAGAGCAGGTGGTTCCTCCAGGGCCAAGTTAGCCCAGAAGCAGAGGGCCTGAGGTCTGAAGGCCTCCTTTTATGTGACACTGACCCCATGCTCTGCCTCTACAGGTGCCTCACGAGAAGTGCCGATGTGCAGTGGGCAGCATCCTGAGTGAGGGAGAGGAGTCACCCTCACCTGAGCTCATCCACCTCTATCAGAAATTTGGCTTCAAGATATTCTCCTTTCCAGCACCCAGTCATGTAGTGACAGCCACTTTCCCTTACACCACTCCCCTATCCATCTGGCTGGCTGCCCGCCGAGTCCATCCTGCTTTGGATACCTACATCAAGGTGAGACATGGGTATAGCACATGGAGAGTGGTCACTCAGATCCCTTGGGTGGTAACCGAGAAGGTGGTCCAGGATATGAGGAATAAGTAGTTTGGAGAGAATAGCTCTCTGAGACCCTCGTGCACTTATGTTGGCAAAGACTCCTGGCTTCTCTTTCAGATGTTTAAGGTCTTAGGGTCAGACCATCTCCAAGAGCTTGTTCAGAAACCTGATGTGGTCAGATTGGCTTTCTCTCTGTGCTCACCCTGTCGCTATCCTGCTTGAGGCCTGAGCTTTCACTGGCCCTGTGTCACCCTGGCTTCGATGCTACTTTTGCTCCCACCTCCATTCCCCCCAAGGACTTGAACAGCAGTGCAGGCTCTGCCTCCTTCATTTCTGACCTGGAAGGAAGGAATACTAGCAGCACAGCCATCAAGAGATTGGACAGAGGGTTCTGCCTACAGAAGCCTTAAAAATCTGACCTGTCTGCACCCTTCTTTGATATGTTACAGACTTGAAAGCTACATCTTGGGCTTGGAAGTGACTGTTTATTCATTCGTTTGGCTTGTGTTTATAGAGTCCATACTGAGTGCTCTTCAGGACACAGTGTGGAAGACTAGTGCATAAAGAGGCACATACAATGAGGTGATGAAGAAAGGCAGTAAATATGGGATACATGGTAGGAAGTAGTGGGGACCCTCTTGGGTAGGGTGGTTAGAGATAGCAGGTCACTTCAAGGTGGAGTCCATGAGAGCTGTTGCAAAGAAGGGAAGGCTGTTTAATCAGGGGAAGGCAAAGAACAGCAAAGGGCTTGTTTGGAGAGTTTTGTTTGGTTGTCTTTTCTTTCCTGAGGCAGGGAATCATGCAGCTAGGCTGTTTTCAAACTTGCTATGTAATTGAGGGTAACCTTGAACTCCTGGTTCTCCTTCTGCTACCTCTCAAGGTCTCAGATGACAGCTCTACTCCATCATTCCTGGTTTGATCTAAACGTAGTAAGGGTATGATGGAACACTCCTGGAATCCCAGTTTCTTGGGGGTGCTGAAGCAGAAGGACCTAGAGTTTGAGTCCAGCCTGGGTTACATAAAGAGATCTTGTCTCAAAGAATTATAAATATCTTTCTCTCTGTCTATGTATGTATCAGTGATAGAAAGTTTGAAGGCAATCAAGTGCCCAAAACCAACCAAACAAGCAAAAAACCCAAAACAAATCTAACAACCAATGCAGTGTTCTCTTGAGTCATCTGTTCAAGATGGGCTACCCCATCCTGAGCTGGGTTAGGGATGGGGAGTGTGCTCAGGAGGCAGTCAGGATCTGAATGGAAATGTCCACAGGTTAGGCTGCCTCTCTCTTGGTGGTTAATGCCAGCCTTCCTTTCTTCCAGACCATAAGTCACTGGGCAGTGACTGTAGTGATGCAGAACTAGCACAGAGGTTGGCGGTCTGTTTTGCGGTGTAGCTGTTGTACTAAAGCTGGGTTGGCTGTTAGGAAGGATGCTGTGGGATGGCACAGGCTGTGTCCTGTTTCAAGGTAGTTGGAAGCATGATGTTGCTTTCCATTGAACTGTGGGAATCTTTTAAAAGAGGACCTGGTTTGGGGTAAAACTGGCTCTGTGGGCTAACAGTGGAACTGTTTGACATTTGCATGGGGTGTGGTTATGGCTGGGTGGCAGTGATGTCCGTCGTGGTGGTAGGTCAGAGGCTTGGGAGCTGGGAGATGGTAACCGGGAGCACTGCTAGAGAGGTCGTGCTTCCCTGGGCCCAGGGGCAGGAGGTGGGAAAGTGGGCTGGTGTGATGGCAGGAAGTAAGATATAAATGTCCTAGGCCGCTCAAGTGAGGGCCTGGTGTACAGTGTTTTCCATCTTGTTTTGTCTGTGCTGTCGTCTTCAGTCTTGATGGCTAATCTGGAGGAGCATCCCCAGGAAGATATTTCTTGGGTTCCAGACCTCAGAACTGGATGTGTGGCATGTGGTATAGTGGCAAGCGATTGAGCCACCAAAGCTTTTTCCTGGCTTCAGGGGTTTATTTTTAGATACCTTTGTCCAAATTTCCCTGCCCCTGACTGCTTCACAAGTTGGCTGGTTTCAACATCATCTCTTTGATGAAAGTCCTTCCTCCTGTCAGCTGCTCTCTGGGCTCTGTTTTCCTGGGGTGGTGGCAGGGACAAAAAGCCAGGGCTTTGGGGCAGGGTGAGGGCCATACCTGTCCTGTGTTTAGCCAGGCTTTGGGTCCTGGGAGACTAAGTTGACGGGGAGATGAGGAAGAGACTGGTTGGCCATAACTGCAATCTACAGGAGGTAGCTGCTGCCTCTCAGCACAGGGGACAGAACAGAGTCAGGCTGCCTCACACCCCTGCCTCAGTGCCCTGAGGTTACTAATGAGAGATCAGCACTTGTGACTCTCCTAACCCAACAACTGGCTGCTTTTTGACTTTGTGTACATACACAGCCCCCCCCCCCCCTTTTCCTTCTCTCTTACTCTCTCATTTTCTCTCTGGATTTGGGATTGCTGTGGATGTTCTTCAGATGAAATAATAGCAGCTATCACATTCTTTCGAGAGGGATGGTTTTGCTGGCAGATAAAGGGGAGGACTGACTTGACAGTCTCACCTGCTGCTCCAGAGGCTGAGGTGGAGTGTATATGGGTGGGTGAGGAGTAAGAGATGTATGGGTCTCAAGAGCTTTGAGTTGGGAGATGGAAAGCAGCTACTGCCTGGCAATTGCAGATGTGCCTAACCCTGGGGCATTGGTTTCATGGCACAGCAAAGGACCCAGAGGTTACTGCAAGGAGAAAAAAAAAAAATGTTTTTCAGGCTTCTTTGGTTTCTGGAAGGGATACCTGTAACCTATCTTTGTGATCTGCTTGGCAGCTCCCTGGCCAACCATATTTCAGCCTAGCAATCTGCCAGACTGAGCTGTAGATGCTGGAATTTGTTTATTTGTTTATTTATTTGGGGGTTGTTCTTTTTCGAGACAGGGTTTCCCTGTGAAGTTCTGACTGTGCTGGAACTCGTATATCCAAAATGGTTTCACACTCAAGAGATTTGCATGTCTCTGTCTCCTGAGTGCTAGGATTAAAGGCGTGCACCATCACCTCCTGGCACTTGTTTTGTTTTGTAATACATGGTTTTTCTGTGTAGACCTGGTTATCCTGGAACTCACTCTGTAAACCAGGCTGACCTCAAACTCACAGAAATCTGCCTGTCTCCACCTTCCAAGTGCTAGGGATAAAGGTATATGCCCCCACCACCAACCAGATGCTGCAATTTCTGCCTTCAAAATACTGCTGGGAGCTGGAGAGATGGCTCAGAGGTTAAGAGCACTGATTACTCTTCCAGAGGTCCTGAGTTCAATTCCCAGCAACCACATGGTGGCTCACGGCCGTCTATAATGAGATCTGGTGCCCTCTTCTGGCATGCAAGCATACATGAAAGGAATGTTGTATATACATAATAAATAAATAAATCTTTAAAAAAAAATACTGCTAGGACTCTCCAGGCTGAACACTCTGGGAACAGTTTGTGTAAGGGTTACCTGGGTACCATGTTATCGTCTCTGTATGTAGAAGATATCCCAGTCTGGCCATTGTGCTTCACTGAAGTGCGTGGGCAGAGGAGACCACTCCTTAAGTCCCAGACTGGAGGCTGTTTCTTGCAGGAACTGAACTTCCTTAAAATTACAAAACTACAGCAGAGATAATCGGTCTAGATAAGAGCCTAGAGCAGTGGACAAAGACCCCCACACACCAAAATTCACCTCAGGTTAGAACTGTCTTTTGAAGTGCCCAAGGAAGGCTTTGGGTACATGCAGCCTTTAGGACTGAATGGTGAAAATACGATCCTGTGTGGTATTGTGTATGAAGGGTCCCTAGCATGACAGGAGAGTTGATCAGGATCCTTGAGGGGATTAGACTGACCAAGCTGCCTAACTGCCCTGCCCTTAACTCCCCTTTAGCAAGATCCAGAATCTTTTCCATAAACACCTGTTCTAGGGTTTTTTTATATCCAGGCATTTCCAGGGCCTTTGTTTTTTTTGTTTTGTTTTGTTTGTTTTGTTTTGTTTTGTTTGCTTAAGCATCTTGTCCCAAGTTTAGGGTCTTGTTCACACAGTGATTGGTAGTAGGCAGGCCCCAGAAATCAGGTGTGGTTCTTTCACTATAGTGTTGGAAAGGGAGCTGTAAGAGGAGTTGCCAGGAAAGGGGTACCATAAAGGCCAAGTCCTGGAGTAGCTGTGTTGACTGGGGTTGATCTAACAGGGCTTAGAGTGGGAGGGAACTAAAAGCTCTGCTGAGGTGTACTCTGTGGCTGGCAGCTTAGACCTGTCTTAACTGTAGTCACTATGCCTAAAGTTTTTTTTTAATTCAGTTAATATCTTAACCTTTTGTCTAGAAGAGGACTTCTGAGGCTCCACTGGTTTGCAAACTTTTGTACTAGTTGAGATGAATCTGAGAAGATCCCCCCACCCCTGCTAGATGCATGATTATTCTGGATTTTGTGGATGCTGTATAACTGCAGTGTAAGCAGAGTGAAGGGACACCAAGTCGCTTTCAGAAGAGGCATTTGTTTCTGAAGAAGCATCACTCTAATTAGAAATTGGAGCTGAATGGAAGCTTGAGGAGCTTCAGGTTGGAGGTCTGTGGAGTGGAGGTAACTGAACTCTTTAAGTGGTGGGTGGGTGATAGTTTGACCAGCTAGGATCTAAGGAGCAGGGCACAGCAGAGTGCCTGTGGAGTGAGTCAGCCTGACGAGCTGCATGAAGCTTAGAGCAGACTATTGAGAAACTGACTCTACCCACTAGGTTCTGAACCCTGTATTTGTGTCCACTTACCCTGTTTCATCATCCATGAAGGAGTTAGGGTGGGACTAGTAGAGGTCTATTAGGCCCTGGCTATAGGGATCCAGATGAGAAAGCCCCATGGGAAATTTGAGATCTGGTCATCTCTCACTCTTTGGCTACCATCTTGGCCCTGCCAGCATGATATGGTTCCAAGCTTTATTTTAATAAGGAATGCTGAGCTATGATCG